CCTAGATGGTTGTGTGACTTCTGTTACATTTACACCCTGGGTGTAATAATTAATTTTGGCTTGGGTTGGCATCATAATTTATTAAACAGATGTATCACTACAGATCTAGCAGCACAGACTTGAACTAGGCCAGAAGATAAATAAAGACACAAGCAACACTTGAATATGTATTATCACTGCTCAGCAATAAAGATACCTAAGTATACTACATGTGTTTTATTCATTATGTGAGTATTGCATGCCATTATTATTACTATAATCATAATAATAAATGTATGAATAAATAAATGTATGAAAAAGGGGACGGTACCTAGGGATTGGCAGAGAACATATATAGTCCCTTTATATAAAGGGAAGGGGGACAAGAGAGATTGTAAAAATTATAGAGGAATAAGTTTACTGAGTATACCAGGGAAAAGTGTATGGTAGGGTTATAATTGAAAGAATTAGAGGCAAGACAGAATGTAGGATTGTGGATGAGCAAGGAGGCTTCAGAGTGGGTAGGGGATGTGTAGATCAAGTGTTTACATTGAAGCATATATGTGAACAGTATTTAGATAAAGGTAGGGAAGTTTTTATTGCATTTATGGATTTAGAAAAAGCATATGATAGAGTGGATAGGGGAGCAATGTGGCAGATGTTGCAAGTATATGGAATAGGTGGTAAGTTACTAAATGCTGTAAAGAGTTTTTATGAGGATAGTGAGGCTCAGGTTAGGGTGTGTAGAAGAGAGGGAGACTACTTCCCGGTAAAAGTAGGTCTTAGACAGGGATGTGTAATGTCACCATGGTTGTTTAATATATTTATAGATGGGGTTGTAAAGGAAGTAAATGCTAGGGTGTTCGGGAGAGGGGTGGGATTAAATTTTGGGAATCAAATTCAAATGGGAATTGACACAGTTACCTTTTGCTGATGATACTGTGCTTATGGGAGATTCTAAAGAAAAATTGCAAATGTTGGTGGATGAGTTTGGGAATGTGTGTAAAGGTAGAAAGTTGAAAGTGAACATAGAAAAGAGTAAGGTGATGAGGGTATCAAATGATTTAGATAAAGAAAAATTGGATATCAAATTGGGAGGAGGAGTATGGAAGAAGTGAATGTTTTCAGATACTTGGGAGTTGACGTGTCGGCGGATGGATTTATGAAGGATGAGGTTAATCATAGAATTGATGAAGGAAAAAAAGGTGAGTGGTGCGTTGAGGTATATGTGGAGTCAAAAACATTATCTATGGAGGTAAAGAAGGGAATGTATGAAAGTATAGTAGTACTAACACTCTTATATGGGTGTGAAGCTTGGGTGGTAAATGCAGCAGCGAGGAGACGGATGGAGGCAGTGGAGATGTCCTGTTTAAGGGCAAGTGTGGTGTAAATATTATGCAGAAAATTCGGAGTGTGGAAATTAGGAAAAGGTGTGGAGTTAATAAAAGTATTAGTCAGAGGCAAAGAGGGGTTGTTGAGGTGGTTTGGTCATTTAGAGAGAATGGATCAAAGTAGAGTGACATGGAAAGCATATAAATCTATAGGGAAGGAAGGCGGGGTAGGGGTCGTCCTCGAAAGGGTGGAGAGAGGGGGTAAAGGAGTTTTGTGGGCGAGGGGCTTGGACTTCCAGCAGCGTGTGTGAGCGTGTTAGATAGGAGTGAATGGAGACGAATGGTACTTGGGACCTGACGATCTGTTGAGTGTGAGCAGGGTAATATTTAGTGAAGGGATTCAGGGAAACCGGTTATTTTCATATAGCCGGACTTGAGTCCTGGAAATGGGAAGTACAATGCCTGCACTTTAAAGGAGGGGTTTGGGATATTGGCAGTTTGGAGGGATGTGTTGTGTATCTTTATACGTATATGCTTCTAAACTGTTGTATTCTGAGCACCTCTGCAAAAACAGTGATTATGTGTGAGTGTGGTGAAAGTGTTGAATGATGATGAAAGTATTTTTTGGGGGGGATTTTCTTTCTTTTTTGGGTCACTCTGCCTCGGTGGGAGATGGCCGACTTGTTGAAAAAAAAAAAAAATACATGTATAATAATAATGTACTATATAGGAATAATTATAATAAAAGACAGCCTCAAAAGGCTGTCACTAGATGGCAGTGTTTACCACAACAAAGTGCGAGCGGTTGTGGCCGCCTCAACATGTTACATAATGACGTATTTTTTCATTCTTGAGTATATATCAGGTTTCTATTGCTGTATTGTTTATTAAGTCACATTGGATAAATTGTGATAGATAAATAAGCCGTAGAGATGATATTAGCGAAATTATTCAAGGAGTGTTTTGTCCTGTCTCCAGACAAACTCGTCCACTGCCAACGCCACCCATACCACTACATGAATGACATATTGTATTCATTCTAGAGTATATATCAGGTTTCTATGTTATTTATATTGTTTATTATGTCATATTAGATGAATTGTGATAGATAAATAAGCCGTATAGATGATATTAGCAAAATATTGAAGTATCTTGTCGTGCCTCCTGAGAGCTGGGAATGGATTAATTGCATTTCAATTAATTTAAATGAGGAAAATTGACTCGGCAAATGAGCAAATCCAGATGCGAGCAAGGTCATGGAATGGATTAAACTCATGAGTGGAGGCTCCACTGTACTGTACAGTACACAGAAAAATAAAATTCACTTTGCAAAGTCTCCTAATGAATACTTTTCTCTAAACCAATCATAAAATAAGAATCCCCTGCACTTGAATGCAATAAAGTGCATAGAACAGAAATAAGGTCATTATATCAGAATCATACTCACATCCAAAAATACAAGTGTGCAGGAATGCCTTCACAAGAGAATACAGTATTTATTTAACTTATATTAAAACTGAAATAAAACAAATATGTATATAAAACACAAAGTACATGTATGTATACATGTACGTATATAAATACTGTATTATATTACACGGTATGTATATACTGACAAATAACAGAAAAAGGCACAATACTGTGACTGGAACAATACACAAATAACCCGCAAATAGAACAGAAGAGCTTATGACGACGTTTTGGTTCGACTTAGACCATTAACAAAATGTTCCAAGTCAAACTGAAACGTCGTCGTCAGCTTCTCTCTTCTATGTGCGGGTTATTTGTGTAAATATACTGATAAATACACTATGACTTATTTAATTCACCCAATCCATGATTAAGATCATGAAATATATACGTTTATTACAAAAGAAAAGACTTTCTTATTACAGTATGTTTGTGTGAAATACTTTAACCCTTTCAGGGTCCGTCCCGTAGATCTACGGCTTTACGTTCAGGGTCCAAACCGTAGATCTACGCCATGAGCTCAGCTCACTCTGATAAACTGTGAGTTGTACATTTGGGCCTAGATATGAGAGAATACATCTATGTGGTATGTGTGCACCACATAAAACAGATCCTGCAGCACACTGTGTATGAGAGAAAAAAAATGAAATCATGATTTTCTCGATTAAAACAGCAACTTTGCAGTGTTTTTTCGTATGTTTTTTATAGTTGTATTTGCGATTTCTTGGTCTCATTTGATAGAATGGAAGACATATTACAGAAATAGAGATGATTTTGATTGGTTTTAGCATTGGAAATGGCTTGAAACTGAGCTCAAAGTAGCGGAAATGTTAAATTTTTGCCGATATTCAGGAGTAAACAAACGACCTCAAACGTCTAATACACGTCAGCTGGTGGGTCTAATATACATTCACAAATATGGTGATGATATTTATACAATTATTACAGTATTGCATAACAGTAAATTCTCTATTTTTTGGTGTGAATAAAAATTCATTATGTGAATAAAAAATCAAAATGGAATTTATTTGTAAAGCCTCAAAACATAACTAATGAACAGAGGAAATGTTAGTTTAGTGCCAGGAATGCCCACATTGTTCATTCTGGACCTATTTTGAAATTGGAATATTTGAACTTTGTGTTAAATTGGCCAAATTAACAATTTCCGATCACTTTATTTTGTAGTTGAAACAGTTGACTTGGCGATTTCTTGTGCTCAATCGATAGAATAGAAGTAATACTAGTGAAATAGCTAAGAATTTGGTTGATTGGAATAATGTAATTGGCCTAAAATCAGAGTCAAAATCGGCAAAATCGCCGATTCGTAAATATCGCTGACACATCAAAATTCGCGAGGGCATAATTTCGTCAATTTTCCACCAAATTTCGTACTTTTTGTTTTATTACCTTCACAAAAAGATTCTCTACGATTTCATAAGAAAAAATAACAAATTTTTTTTTTGAAAATTCTTGGACACTGGTGCGTGACTCCAGATTTGGGCCTTGGACCCTGAAAGGGTTAAAAGAGTATATGTTATACCATATGATCTTGGCCCTAAGTCAACTTTTTTTACTTAAATAAAAGTGCCTCAAAATATGATTCAGGTACTATATTGTACCATAAAACACTACATAAAAAAATAGATGTAGTAGCAACTATATTTACTAAATGTCTGTAAATAAAAAAAAATTTAATGACTTCAGCGTCGATAACAATACCACAATTGTAAATTAAAAAAATGAAGTGAAAGAAATACTAGAATTTTCTTTTTTGATAACAAATGGTGAAAAAATGAAGTGAAGTAACTGAGGGCAGTTAACTAAAAAATTTTTTTCCTTTGTTTTTAACAAATCGGCCATCTCCCACCGAGGCAGGGTGACCCAAAAAGAAAAAAAATCCCCAAAAAGAAAATACTTGCATCATCATTCAACACTTTCACCACACTCACACATAATCACTGTTTTTGCAGAGGTGCTCAGAATACAACAGTTTAGAAGCATATATGTATAAAGATACACAATACATGTACAGTGGACCCCCGCATAACGATCACCTCCAAATGCGACCAATTATGTAAGTGTATTTATGTAAGTGCGTTTGTACGTGTATGTTTGGGGGTCTGAAATTGACTAATCTACTTCACAATATTCCTTATGGGAAAAAATTCGGTCAGTACTGGCACCTGAACATACTACTGGAATGAAAAAAGTTCGTTAACCGGGGGTCCACTGTATATCCCTCCAAACTGCCAATATCAATTCTTCTTCTTCTTTCAACAAACCGGCCGTATCCCACCGAGGCAGGGCGGCCCAAAACGAAAAACAATATCAATTATTGGAATTTAAAAAAATATGAACAAAAATTTAATGACTGGACACCACAATCATAGACCTGCTCTTGTAGCTACAAAATAAACCATTACAGTGCTTCATTCAAGACAGAAATTATGCTATGATGTTAGGCCTACCTTAAGTTAAGACTATATTAGGTTTTGTAAATTTAAGAAAGATGAAGTTAAATGGCAAAGTTAATTTTATCACAATTTTAAAAACTATCATATAAGGTTTATTTTCAGGTATATGTACTGTATATCAATTCCTAATTTAAAATGTGAAAAAATCTAAAGTTGAGAAAATTTGAGTCAGCCTAAAATAGCACAATAACAAAACTTTTTACAATTTGTCTTTTTCTTTGAAAAAACTCATTTGGCCAACATTATGTTACTCTTCACACTGTTCTGTAAGAGAGAAATATGGATCAGTAAGTTTGCAATACCCACTACTATAACTGAATGCATACAAAAATAATTCAAATATTGCCTAAAATTTATGGATAGGTAGGAAACACTAACACAGTGAAAAAAAAACCAAACCACACCACGATTTTGTGGGTCGCTAACACAGTGATATTGAGAAAGAAATGTAAAAAGATGGAATCCTTTAATGATGATGCTTTTGCCCTCCCATTGGGCTTTGTCGAGGTGCAGATAAACCTAGTAGACGGTGAGGATTTAAAAATTGTAGTGTGGTGCACTTCAGGTCACAATGGTAATCACAGGAAAATCAACGACAAACAATGCATCCGATTTACTTTTCACTTCACCACTACTCACTAAGTAATCACTTTATCTTACCAGGTTTATCTGTTTGACTTGACAAAACTCAGTGTCTGAGCAAAACAGGTCATCAATAAAGAATTCCACATAACTGCATTAATCTACATTAATACTTTATAATGTCTACATATTTTTCAAAATAATACTCTCACATAATGATGACAAGTTGTTAACAACAATTATTGGTTATCATCTAGGAAAGAAAGAACAATGTTCTAATGAAAGATATTAAATATTCATAAATGAAAATATTTACAATACTGTATACAATACTTTAAAATTTTACCTCCAAAGATTGAATTTTGTCCGTCCAGTCCTCAGCAGCAATCTTGGCCACTGCATTCTTCAGTACCAGAGTGACCCTCTCAACATTCACTCTTTAAAAAAATGAAAGATAAAAATATAAATGTGAATACCAAGAGCTCGCTATAAATCTTGAATCTTCTTCTTTCAACGCACCAACCATATCCCACCGAGGCGGGGTGGCCCAAAAGGTAACACAAAAATTTCTCCTTTTACATTTAATAATATATACAAGAGAAGGGGTTACTAGCCCCTTGCTCCCGGCATTTTAGTCGCCTCTTATGATATGCATGGCTTAAGGAGGAAGAATTCTGTTCCACTTCCCCATGGAGAATAAATCTTGAATATTTTACTAAAATCATTAATTATGTAACTGTACCAGTATTAAAATTTTCAATATACTGATGTTATAACTTATTTATTATTAGTTTCATGGGGAATTATTAAACCCATAAGGGTCATGTAGCACCTGGGGAATGGGATGTAATGAAATTCTAAGGAAAAGAAATGTAGACCCAATTCCTTGGATCAAGAGCCCTTCACCAGAATCAAGGTACTTTCCTTGAAGGGTGTGTAAGAAGTGAGAAACCACTATTAAAGAAAAATAAAATGTGGAGAAATAGAGCTGTACATTACAACCTCAATCTGAGATCCTCTTCAGAAGATCTTCCGAGGCCAAAATATGAAGAGCTTTTTCTACTTGTTTTAATTTTATTGTCCAAATAATTGTGACTATTCACCAATGAGTGTTTATAACAGTAATTCAAAACACTGTGTATGTATTACTAAGAAGCAACATGATGTACTTACATACTGCCTCAGCCCAAAAAAGCATACAAAAGAATTCTTTGATTATCCCCAACTGCTACACAGATCACTTGCAAATGAAGGTTCAATCCCCAGTACTCCTTAAACAATTTCTTACTATCACAAAACAGGGATGCCTTAACTTACAAATGAGTTGCATTTCTGGCATTTCAATTTTAATAAATGAGTTGCAACTATAAACCAATTCTCCTAGAGAAAAGGATTGCTAGCGCACTCAGCATACACACTGTAGTCTGGGGGGTCAATCTTTGGTATGGTTGGAAACGTTAGGACGTCTTTCCTTAAGTTACCTGCTATCCAATGTTTACCCACCTGGGTGTTAGTTGACTGGTGTGGGTCGCATCCTGGGATAAAATTGACCTAATTTGCCCAAAATGCTCTGCATAACAAGCGGCTGTCTATATAGTAGTAAGTCAGTGATGTCAGCTAGGCCTGTATATCTTATTATTATTATTATTATTACTATTATAAGGATAATTAAATGTCAGTTAGGTAGTAGGTTGGTAGACAGCAACCACCCAGGGAGGTACTACCGTCCTGCCAAATGAGTGTAAAACGAAAGCCTGTAATTGTTTTACATGATGGTAGGATTACTGGTGTCATTTTTTCAGTCTCATAAACATGCAAGATTTCAGGTACGTCTTGCTACTTTTACTTACACTTAGGTCACACTACACATACATGTACAAGCATATATATACACACCCCTCTGGGTTTTCTGCTATTTTCTTTCTAGTTCTTCTTCTTGTTTATTTCCTCTTATCTCCATGGGGAAGTGGAACAGAATTCTTCCTCCATAAGCCATGTGTGTTGTAAGAGGCAACTAAAATGCTGGGGGCAAGGGGCTAGTAATAAATTACTAGTATAAATTACTAAATTTAAAAAGAGAAACTTTCGTTTTTCTTTTTGGGCCACCCTGCCTTGGTGGGATACAGCCGATTTGTTGAAAAAAAAAAATTAAATGTCATATACATATTAGTACCTGAAGATTAACATTCATAAAACAATCATTTTCTGAATATTATTATCTTTTGTACCTCTTTCATGTAAGGTCTTCATAACTCGGTCACCGGTAAGTCAGGTACCTCCTCTATGGTGAGAGATTTATTTCAGGTGCTCCTTGACCTATGATGGGGTTACGCTCCGATGAACCCATCGAAAGTCAAAAATATCATAAATTGAATATGAATATGATATGCTAAATAAATAAGTGAATAAACAATTACTGTCACTGAATAAGTAAATAAATAAATAATTACTGTAACTATTTTCCAGTACTAAAGAGTAAGTAAATGAATACAAGTTATGGACTTGCTGCTGTCGTGCTGTTGCACCATCATAAATTTGAACCATTGTAAGTTGAGGAGCACCTGTACAGATACACTTACTTGAAGACTGACATGACCTTCTCCACAGAGACAGATTCTTCACCTTCCTTCCAGCAATCGTAGTCTGTTGCCATGGCAATTGCTGCATAACATAAGCCAAGTTCTCGAGCAAGAACAACCTTTTGTTAAATAAAGTGAAATACATTAGAGAAATACAACCAAAGAAAGCATTATCTACTAATCTCTGTCCAGAATAACTCTTCATAATTTACAATCCTTTTTAATTTTATCTACTACACACTCTTGATTTATTCCACATTTTTTATTATTAACTTTATTGTTAACACATCGGCTGTCTCCCACCAAGGCAGGGTGGCCCGAAAAAGAAAAACTTTCATCATCGTTCACTCTATCACTGTTTTGCCAGAGGCGTGCTTACACTACAGTTATAAAACTGCAACATTAACACCCCTCCTTCTGAGTACAGACACTGTACTTCCCATCTCCAGGAATCAAGTCCAGCCTGTCAGTTTCCCTAAATCCTTTCATAAATTTTACCTTGCTCACATCTGCACCTGCTAGAATATCCACAACTGCTATAATATTCATATTATCACATTTATTTACACTAACCTCCTTCTAAACATTGTCACTATCATCATCTATTTAAAAACTCAATATGGTACCTATTTTCTTGAGATGACAATATAATTTAATCAATCTTACCTTATATATTTATAGTTGGGGTTATAAGAGAAGTAAATGCGAGGGTCTTGGCAAGAGGCGTGGAGTTAAAAGATAAAGAATCACACATAAAGTGGGAGTTGTCACAGTTGCTCTTTGCTGATGACACTGTGTTCTTGGGAGATTCTGAAGAGAAGTTGCAGAGGTTGGTGGATGAATTGGTAGGGTATGCAAAAGAAGAAAATTAAAAGTGAATACAGGAAAGATTAAGGTTATGAGGATAACAAAACGATTAGGTGATGAAAAAACTGGATATCAGATTGGAGGGAGAGAGTATGGAGGAGGTGAATGTATTCAGATATTTGGGAGTGGATGTGTCAGCGGATGAGTCTATGAAAGATGAGGTGAATCATAGAATTGATAAGGGGAAAAGGGTGAGCGGTGCACTTAGGAGTCTGTGGAGACAAAGAACTTTGTCCTTGGAGGCAAAGAGGGGAATGTATGAGAGTATAGTTTTACCAACGCTCTTATATGGGTGTGAAGCATGGGTGATGAATGTTGCAGCGAGGAGAAGGCTGGAGGCAGTGGAGATGTCATGTCTGAGGGCAATGTGTGGTGTGAATATAATGCAGAGAATTCGTAGTTTGGAAATTAGGAGGAGGTGCGGGATTACCAAAACTGTTGTCCAGAGGGCTGAGGAAGGGTTGTTGAGGTGGTTCGGACATGTAGAGAGAATGGAGCGAAACAGAATGACTTCAAGAGTGTATCAGTCTATAGTGGAAGGAAGGCGGGGTAGGGGTCGACCAAGGAAAGGTTGGAGGGAGGGGGGTAAAGGAGGTTTTGTGTGCAAGGGGCTTCGACTTCCAGCAAGCATGCGTGAGCGTGTTTGATAGGAGTGAATGGAGACAAATGGTTTTTAATACTTGATGTGCTGTTGGAGTGTGAGCAAAGTAACATTTATGAAGGGATTCAGGGAAACCGGCAGGCCGGACTCGAGTCCTGGAGATGGGAAGTACAGTGCCTGCACTCTAAATGAGTTGCAGTTTAAAAACTGTAGTGTAAAGCACCCTTCTGGCAAGACAGTGATGGAGTGAATGATGGTGAAAGTTTTTCTTTTTTCGGGCCACCCTGCCTTGGTGGGAATCGGACAGTGTGTTAATAAAAAAAATAAATAATCTTACCTTATCTTTTACTGCACTATAATTACAATTTTTAAATTATTATGCATTCCAATTTTACCTATTTAACTTCCATGTTGATTTCCAAAATGGAGAATAAATGTAGTGCTTACAAAAGGAGGCACAGCTTACATGTCTATTTGTATGACGAGTGTTCTAGAGATACACAAGTGGCAAATGTGGTTCATTTAAAGATTTTAAAATACAGCCTCTCCTTACTTAGTAACATACTTGTTTACCAATGACTCGGACTTAAGACGGGCTCTCTGATCAGTATATACAGTATATCTAAATAATGTACGTTAGAGCAGATTTCCTCTATTCCGTTTATTACAATATACAGTACACTACTGTATAAACATTTACAAGTATACCAGAAATGCTATAAATAGTGCAAAGGTGACATCAAAACAATATCAAAGATGGTTGACACAAACCCACCACCATTATAGCATGCTCCTCTTTGCAACAAATTTGTTTAGGGACGTGGTCTTAGGAATGGAACTCCGTCATTATGTGAGGAGAGGCTGTATATATAAAGCAAGCATGGGAGTTTATAAACTTGTATTCTACATGGTACACAGGATTCACTACTGTGTGCTATAGGCGTGAACATTCACTGGAGAAGGCAAGGGAGAATGGAGGGGATGCTGCCCACCCCTTGATCAGCTCTATCAAGGGACAACAACCTTCACTTCCCTGGAAAAGTTGCAGCAAATGTACATGGCTGTCGATTAAGATAACATTAAATAATTAATTTGAGAGTAGGGTGGACAGAGTGCCATACAGTAAGGTCTAATAGACAATCAATTGCATCTGGCTATACTACAGGAGTGTTTAATAAATATTTAAAGAAATATTGATACATGTCTGTAAGGACACCAAAGTACAAGCCTGCCTGGGGCACCTAAATCTCTCTCTCCAGCCCTGGTCTAATCAAAAGTTTAAGCAGCAAAATTATGAGAATTTTGGAAGACATGTATAAGTATGAGATCCAATGCTAAAAACAGCAAGTTCCTTGTGCCTGAACTCAAGTCTGGCTAAAACTATGTATTAATGAAAATTTCACGAGTAAGACCTTAACAGAATACCGGTAACTTGTAAAATTAAAAAAAAAAAAAAAAACAGACCTCAGGAACAGTTGTCATGTTAATAACGTCACCTCCCCACAAGCGGAACATTAGGCTCTCAGCTTTGCTGCTGAACCTAGGGCCTTCCACTGTTACAACTGTACCTAAAACAGCAAGCAAAGGTACTTCAGCACTTTGTAACATTATTATTATTTTTTTTTTTTAACACCAGCCATCTCCCACCAAGGCAGGGGGACTTAAAAATGAAGTGTAATTTTTCTTCTTTTCACATTTAGTAATTTATACAGAAGGGGTTACTAGTCCCTTTCTCCCAGTATTTTAGTTGACTTGTAACACATATGGCATACAGAAAAAGGATTCTTCTCCACTTCCCTATGGAAAAATTTTTGTATACACTTTTTTTTTTTTTCAACAAGTCGGCCGTCTCCCACCGAGGCAGGGTGACCCAAAAAAAAAGAAAGAAAATCCCCCCCAAAAAAATACTTTCATCATCATTCAACACTTTCACCTCACTCACATATTATTATGTTTATTATGTATACACATAATATACATATATTCAAATAATGTAGGACCAAGAGGAAAATTACACTAGCCTTTTGAGTGCACATTGTAACCCAATTCTTTACAGGATTCTTCAAGAATATTGCAAGTATCAGCACAGAAAGGTTTATCCATTGGTAAATGGAGAATCCCAGGTGGATGTCCTTCCTCTCCATCGTGGAATGTCTGCACACGCTTTGTCGTCCTGAAAGCCAAAAACACAGGACAGATTTCCTAAGCTTCAGCACTAAATAATATAAAAGTCACAACATATAAAAAAGACGTGCAATATTTGGGGATTTTTTGTCTTAAAACATTTTGCCCACAAAGAGATTCTTCAATCCAAATTGAATCAAAGAATCCTTTCCCTGGTGAGTAAAACATCTCTAAATAAAATTTCAGGCATGTTGTGTCTCTTTTCTTTATGCATTTGTCAGACAAGATAAATACCCTGAGGGTTGTATTTCTTCCAGCGTGTATGTATAGTGTTCTTGTTTGTAGTGAAAAAGGTTACATGCAGCTTTAATGACCTCATGTAGTTGATAGGTTTTAAACCCCATTAACCATTATTGGTATAATTTAGTCAGTGCATAATACACAAAGTCACAGTTCCATGGCTGTATAATTAACAACTATGATAATATACAATTTGGAGAGTTGACAGATTCCATATGAAGAGAGACTGATTAATCAAGTACCTACTGAACATTATATTGTTTCTATTGCAGTATATTATATCCTTTTTTTACTTCCTTGCAATACTTTTCATGTCTTTGGAGTGGCAAGTGAAATATCTCCTTACCCAAGAAAAGGGCAGCAATTTACTGATGAAGATTAATGGGAGACGAATTGGACTGTTATTTACAGGTTCACTCGAGGTGACTAGTAGTGAGACAATGTCATCTGAGCATGACATTACATACAATCATATTGGCTAATTCATTTTCTTAATTCTATACTACTTCTACCTGTGCAATAAAATGATTCTGGGCATTCTACTCCACTTTTCAAAGGTAATAACTTACCTATCAATAAACTGATCCAGTAGTACAAAATCCCCTGGCTTAATGTGCTCTTGTAATGAGCCACAGGCTGTGGAAACAACAACATGTGTACACCCTTTCTCCTTCAAGGCCCATAAGTTTGCTCGGTAGTTGACGTTTGTGGGCATTATAGAATGCTTCCTTCCATGCCTAATGGGACAGAAATAAAGCTTTAGAAATATCTACAACCTGTACATTTCTTAATATCTCATCATGTGCAAATACGAGTGCAAAAAGCACCTGTCAATGACAATGAAACACAAAATAAGAAGTTGTATATAGTATTTCAATCTCCAAAGGAGTTCCTCTTCATTAAAGTTAAAATACGTATACAGATTCCTCGTATTTTTTTTTCTCTGTGTGAGTTTTATTCTGCTACGTTATAATGCATTTAAGAATGTAGCAATTATGTCTCATGCAATCCCCGGTTCTCCAGGGTGGGAAGCTATCGACTGAGCCACAAGCCTGATCACAGACCGGGCCGCGGGGGCGTTGACCCCCGGAACTCTCTCCAGGTAAACTCCAGGTAAACAAGCACCCACCCTTAGGGGATCATATAGCGGCTGGGAAATGGGAAACAATCAGTTTTGATCAGAGGAAAGGAAGGGTATCTCCAGTTACACTGAACAAGAATTTTTCACCAGCAATAAGGAACCTACTTCAAAGGGAAGGCTCAAATATACCTATAGGAAAAATACTTATAACTCAAAAGATGCCTTTTTTAATAATTGAAAACATATTCTCACCTGGCCAACAACACACAAGGAACTCCACTAATTTTGCCTTCCACTAATACATCTGAAGGAGAACCAAAGGGAGTCTGGACATAACTTTCACTTGAAGTTTCAAATAATTCTGGATTATTGAGACCTGAGCCCCCAATGATGCCAATCTGAAAGACAATTTTGAAATGTATTAGATTTCCTCAAACAATAAACAATAAAATTCTGACCACGATGACCTTAGTGTCATCAAGAAAAACATTTAAATTCAGATTCAGATACTTTATTTCAAACCAATGCATATTGCCCGTGGCCTGATAGACAAAGCTCTTGCTTCCCACACAGTGCCCATGGTTCGATCCTCGGCAAGGGTAGAAACATTGGGTGGGTTTCCTTACACCTGTTGTCCCGTTCACCTAGCAAGCAAGTAGGTAACTGAGCGTTAGTTAACTGCTGTGGGTCGCATCCTTGGGGTCAAGACTGAGGATCCCAATGTTAATAAGACAGACAGTCCCTTGATGAGGCAATGATTTTCTTGGATTATCCTGGGTGGCTAACCTTCAGTACCCTGGGTTATTCTCGGTGGCTAACCCTCCCTACCCTGGGTTATCCTGGGTGACTAACTTTCCCTACCTGGGTTATCCTGGGTGGCTAACCCTCCCTACCCTGGGTTATCCTGGGTGACTAACCCTCCCTACCCTGGCTTATCCTGGGTGACTAACCCTCCCTACCCTGGCTTATCCTGGGTGACTAACCCTCCCTACCCTGGGCTCTCCTGGGTGACTAACCCTCCCTACCCTGGCTTATCCTGGGTGACTAACCCTCCCTACCCTGGGTTATCTTGGGTTACTAACCCTCCCTACCCTGGGTTATCCTGGGTGACTAACCCTCCCTACCCTGGGTTATCCTGGGTGACTAACCCTCCCTACCCTGGGTTATCCTGGGTGACTAACCCTCCCTACCCTAGGTTATCCTGGGTGACTAACCCTCCCTACCCTGGCTTATCCAGGGTGACTAACCCTCCCTACCCTGGGCTCTCCTGGGTGACTAACCCTCCCTACCCTGGCTTATCCTGGGTGACTAACCCTCCCTACCCTGGGTTATCTTGGGTTACTAACCCTCCCTACCCTGGGTTATCCTGGGTGACTAACCCTCCCTACCCTGGGTTATCCTGGGTGACTAACCCTCCCTACCCTGGGTTATCCTGGGTGACTAACCCTCCCTACCCTAGGTTATCCTGGGTGACTAACCCTCCCTACCCTGGGTTATCCTGGGTGACTAACCCTCCCTACCCTGGGTTATCCTGGGTGACTAACCCTCCCTACCCTGGCTTATCCTGGGTGACTAACCCTCCCTACTCTGGCTTATCCTGGGTGACTAACCCTCCCTACCCTGGGTTATCCTGGGTGACTAACCCTCCCTACCCTGGGTTATCCTGGTGACTAACCCTCCCTTCCCTGGGTTATCCTGGGTGACTAACCCTCTCTACCCTGGGTTATCCTGGGTGACTAACCCTCCCTACCCTGGGTTATCCTGGGTGACTAACCCTCCCTACCCTGGGTTATCCTGGGTGACTAACCCTCCCTACCCTGGGTTATCCTGGGTGACTAACCCTCCCTACCCCAGGTTATCCTGGGTGACTAACCCTCCCTACCCTGGGTTATCCTGGGTGACTAACCCTCCCTACCCTGGCTTATCCTGGGTGATTAACCCTCCCTACCCTGGGTTTTCCTGGGTGACTAACCCTCCCTACCCTGGGTTAGCCTGGGTGACTAACCCTCCCTACCCTGGGTTATCCTGGGTGACTAACCCTCCCTACCCTGGGTTATCCTGGGTGACTAACCCTCCCTACCCTGGGTTATCCTGGGTGACTAACCCTCCCTACCCTGGGTTATCCTGGGTGACTAACCCTCCCTACCCTGGGTTATCCTGGGTGACTAACCCTCCCTACCCGGCTTATCCTGGTGACTAACCCCCCTACCCTGGCTTATCCTGGGTGACTAACCCTCCCTACCCTGGGGTTTTCCTGGGGGACTAACCCTCCCTACCCTGGTTTATCCTAGGTGACTAACCCTCCCTACCCTGGGTTATCCTGGGTGACTAACCCTCCCAACCCTGGGTTATCCTGGGTGACTAACCCTCCCTACCCTGGCTTATCCTGGCTGACTAACCCTCCCTACCCTGGGTTATCCTGAGTGACTAACCTTCCCTATCCTGGGTTATATTGGGTGACTAACCCTCCCTACCCTGGGTTATCCTTGGTGGCTAACCCTCCCAACCCTGGGTTATCCTGGGTGATTAACCCTCCCTACCCTGGCTTATCCTGGGTGACTAACCCTCCCTACCCTGGGTTATCCTGAGTGACTAACCTTCCCTATCCTGGGTTATATTGGGTGACTAACCCTCCCTACCCTGGGTTATCCTAGGTGGCTAACCCTCCCTACCCTGGGTTATCCTGGGTGACTAACCTTCCCTACCTGGGTTATCCTGGGTGACTAACCCTCCCTACCCTGGGTTATCCTGGGTGACTAACCCTCCCTACCCTGGGTTATGCTCGGTGGCTAACCCTCCCTACCCTGGGTTATCCTCAGTGACTAACCCTCCCTACACTGGGTTATCCTGGGTGACTAACCCTCCCTACCCTGGGTTATCCTGAGTGACTAACCTTCCCTATCCTGGGTTATATTGGGTGACTAACCCTCCCTACCCTGGGTTATCCTTGGTGGCTAACCCTCCCTACCCTGGGTTATCCTGGGTGACTAACCTTCCCTACCTGGGTTATCCTGGGTGACTAACCCTCCCTACCCTGGGGTATCCTCGGTGGCTAACCCTCCCTACCCTGGGTTATCCTCAGTGACTAACCCTCCCTACCCTGGGTTATCCTGGGTGACTAACCCTCCCTACCCTGGGTTATCCTGGGTTACTAACCCTTCCTACCCTGGGTTATCCTCGGTGGCTAACCCTCCCTACCCTGGGTTATCGTGAGTGACTAACCTTCCCTACCCGGGTTATCCTGGGTGACTAACCCTCCCTACCCTAGGTTATCCTGGGTGACTAACCCTCCCTACCCTGGGTTTTCCTGGGTGACTAACCCTCCCTACCCTGGGTTATCCTGGGTGACTAACCCTCCCTACCCTGGCTTATCCTGGGTGACTAACCCTCCCTACCCTGGCTTATCCTGGGTGACTAACCCTCCCTACTCTGGCTTATCCTGGGTGACTAACCCTCCCTACCCTGGGTTATCCTGGGTGACTAACCCTCCCTACCCTGGGTTATCCTGGGTGACTAACCCTCCCTTCCCTGGGTTATCCTGGGTGACTAACCCTCTCTACCCTGGGTTATCCTGGGTGACTAACCCTCCCTACCCTGGGTTATCCTGGGTGACTAACCCTCCCTACCCTGGGTTATCCTGGGTGACTAACCCTCCCTACCCGGGTTATCCTGGGTGACTAACCCTCCTACCCCAGGTTATCCTGGGTGACTAACCCTCCCTACCCTGGGTTATCCTGGGTGACTAACCCTCCCTACCCTGGCTTATCCTGGGTGATTAACCCTCCCTACCCTGGGTTATCCTGGGTGACTAACCCTCCCTACCCTGGGTTAGCCTGGGTGACTAACCCTCCCTACCCTGGGTTATCCTGGGTGACTAACCCTCCCTACCCTGGGTTATCCTGGGTGACTAACCCTCCCTACCCTGGGTTATCCTGGGTGACTAACCCTCCCTACCTGGGTTATCCTGGGTGACTAACCCTCCCTACCCTGGGTTATCCTGGGTGACTAACCCTCCCTACCCTGGCTTATCCTGGGTGACTAACCCTCCCTACCCTGGCTTATCCTGGGTGACTAACCCTCCCTACCCTGGGTTATCCTGGGTGACTAACCCTCCCTACCCTGGTTTATCCTAGGTGACTAACCCTCCCTACCCTGGGTTATCCTGGGTGACTAACCCTCCACACCCTGGGTTATCCTGGGTGACTAACCCTCCCTACCCTGGGTTATCCTGGCTGACTAACCCTCCCTACCCTGGGTTATCCTGAGTGACTAACCTTCCCTATCCTGGGTTATATTGGGTGACTAACCCTCCCTACCCTGGGTTATCCTTGGTGGCTAACCCTCCCAACCCTGGGTTATCCTGGGTGATTAACCCTCCCTACCCTGGCTTATCCTGGGTGACTAACCCTCCCTACCCTGGGTTATCCTGAGTGACTAACCTTCCCTATCCTGGGTTATATTGGGTGACTAACCCTCCCTACCCTGGGTTATCCTAGGTGGCTAACCCTCCCTACCCTGGGTTATCCTGGGTGACTAACCTTCCCTACCTGGGTTATCCTGGGTGACTAACCCTCCCTACCCTGGGTTATCCTGGGTGACTAACCCTCCCTACCCTGGGTTATGCTCGGTGGCTAACCCTCCCTACCCTGGGTTATCCTCAGTGACTAACCCTCCCTACACTGGGTTATCCTGGGTGACTAACCCTCCCTACCCTGGGTTATCCTGAGTGACTAACCTTCCCTATCCTGGGTTATATTGGGTGACTAACCCTCCCTACCCTGGGTTATCCTTGGTGGCTAACCCTCCCTACCCTGGGTTATCCTGGGTGACTAACCTTCCCTACCTGGGTTATCCTGGGTGACTAACCCTCCCTACCCTGGGGTATCCTCGGTGGCTAACCCTCCCTACCCTGGGTTATCCTCAGTGACTAACCCTCCCTACCCTGGGTTATCCTGGGTGACTAACCCTCCCTACCCTGGGTTATCCTGGGTTACTAACCCTTCCTACCCTGGGTTATCCTCGGTGGCTAACCCTCCCTACCCTGGGTTATCGTGAGTGACTAACCTTCCCTACCCGGGTTATCCTGGGTGACTAACCCTCCCTACCCTGGGTTATCCTGGGTGACTAACCCTCCCTACCCTGGCTTATCCTGGGTGACTAACCTTCCCTACCTGGGTTATCCTGGGTGACTAACCTTCCCTACCTGGGTTATCCTGGGTGACTAACCCTCCCTACCTTGGGTTATCCTGTGTTACTAACCCTCCCTACCCTGGGTTATCCTCGGTGGCTAACCCTCCCTACCCTGGGTTATCCTGAGTGACTAACCTTCCCTACCTGGGTTATCCTAGGTGACTAACCCTCCCTACCCTGGGTTAACCCGGGTGACTAACCCTCCCTACCCTGGGTTATCCTGGGTGACTAACCCTCCCTACCCTGGGTTATCCTGGGTTACTAACCCTTCCTACCCTGGGTTATCCTCGGTGGCTAACCCTCCCTACCCTGGGTTATCGTGAGTGACTAACCTTCCCTACCCGGGTTATCCTGGGTGACTAACCCTCCCTACCCTGGGTTATCCTGGGTGACTAACCCTCCCTACCCTGGCTTATCCTGGGTGACTAACCTTCCCTACCTGGGTTATCCTGGGTGACTAACCTTCCCTACCTGGGTTATCCTGGGTGACTAACCCTCCCTACCTTGGGTTATCCTGTGTTACTAACCCTCCCTACCCTGGGTTATCCTCGGTGGCTAACCCTCCCTACCCTGGGTTATCCTGAGTGACTAACCTTCCCTACCTGGGTTATCCTAGGTGACTAACCCTCCCTACCCTGGGTTATCCTGGGTGACTAACCCTCCCTACCCTGGGTTATCCTGGGTGACTAACCCTCCCTACCCTGGGTTATCCTGAGTGACTAACCTTCCCTACCTGGGTTATCCTGAGTGACTAACCTTCCCTACCTGGGTTATCCTGGGTGACTAACCTTCCTTACCTGGGTTATCCTGAGTGACTAACCCTCCCTACCCTGGGTTATCCTGGGTGACTAACCTTCCCTACCTGGGTTATCCTGAGTGACTAACCCTCCCTACCCTGGGTTATCCTGGGTGACTAACCTTCCCTACCTGGGTTATCCTGAGTGACTAACCTTCCCTACCTGGGTTATCCTGGGTGACTAACCTTCCCTACCTGGGTTATCCTGAGTGACTAACCCTCCCTACCCTGGGCTATCCTAGGTGACTAACCCTCCCTACCCTGGGTTATCCTAGGTGACTAACCCTCCCTACCCTGGGTTATCCTAGGTGACTAACCCTCCCTACCCTGGTTATCCTAGGTGACTAACCCTCCCTACCCTGGGTTATCCTAGGTGACTAACCCTCCCTACCCTGGGTTATCCTAGGTGACTAACCCTCCCTACCCTGGGTTATCCTAGGTGACTAACCCTCTCTACCGTGGGTTATCCTAGGTGACTAACCCTCCCTACCCTGGGTTATCCTAGGTGACTAACCCTCCCTACCCTGGGTTATCCTAGGTGACTAACCCTCCCTACCCTGGGTTATCCTAGGTGACTAACCCTCCCTACCCTGGGTTATCCTGGGTGACTAACCCTCCCTACCCTGGGTTATCCTGGGTGACTAACCCTCCCTACCCTGGGTTATCCTAGGTGGCTAACTCTCCCTACCCTGGGTTATCCTAGGTGACTAACTCTCCCTACCCTGCGTTATCCTGGGTGACTAACCCTCCCTACCCTGGTTTATCCTAGGTGACTAACCCTCCCTACCCTGGGTTATCCTAGGTGACTAACCCTCCCTACCCTGGGTTATCCTAGGTGACTAACCCTCCCTACCCTGGGTTATCCTAGGTGACTAACCCTCCCTACCCTGGGTTATCCTGAGTGACTAACCCTCCCTACCCTGGGTTATCCTAGGTGACTAACCCTCCTTACCCTGGGTTATCCAGGGTGACTAACCCTCCCTACCCTGGGTTATCCTAGGTGACTAACCCTCCCTACCCTGGGTTATCCAGAGTGACTAACCCTCCCTACCCTGGGTTATCCTAGGTGACTAACCCTCCCTACCCTGGGTTATCCTAGGTGACTAACCCTCCCTACCCTGGGTTATCCTAGGTGACTAACCCTCCCTACCCTGGGTTATCCTAGGTGACTAACCCTCCCTACCCTGGGTTATCCTAGGTGACTAACCCTTCAGGGTTACTAATCCAAACAAAATCCTATCTTATCTCTCATCTTATCAGAAAGCCCAGGAGATGCACACTGGAGCAAAACTCAGACTGGCATTATGAACCAAGTTGCTTATTTTCTTAAAAATTATAAACACAATAACATTACGAACTAGACATAAACTGGGTAGCAAGAAATATATAATTACCTGTAATTTTATGCTCTAGTTTAATGGTCCTAAGCTGATGGTAGGTAATAACAGGGCCATTAATAAGTTTATTGAGGCATGTAAGTATAATTATATATAGTGGAAATTACCCACCAGGATAAGACGTAAAATATAAAAAAAAATTGACTTGTTTCCACTGGGTTTTTTTCTTTGTTTGGTTTATGAGGGCCAATGACAGCATCAGGAGTATCGAGCCCGTCTTGATGATGGTACCAGGAAGATGTTAGTTTAATTTTAGTTTAATATGTTTATTATGCAGCCCATAACCATGGTGGGGGTGGTAGTCTAAAGATTACAGAGGTACATAATGGGTCCAGGGACTAGAGCCCAAAGTTTTGATAGATGATCAAGTTACAAAGGTAACGTCAGGAAGATGTGTTGTCCAAAGTTGGACGATGAGAGAAAAGGAACAAAAGTTCCTTTGTAAATAGACTGAAACTTGAAGTTTCCAATTAGATCCGGTGGATCCCCCTACCAAGCCCCAGCAGAGATGTTAGGAAGTATTTCTACAGGTACAGAGTTGTTAGGAAGTAGTGGAGGCAGGAACCATACATAGTTTTAAGACGATAAAGTTCATGGAGCAGGGACAGGACCCAGTAGCGGTCAGTGAAGAGACGGGGCCAGGAGCTGAGTATCGACCCCTGCAACCACAATTAGGTGAGTACACCCCACCCGAGTTCAGTAACCGGCTACCCACCACGACCGATAAGGAATTTTCCCCAGAGAGAAAAAAATGGAGCTGGCTGAAGATAGCCGATGACCAGGAGCTCCTCCTGTTGTGCCCCTCCTGTTGCGTCCCTCCTGTAGTGCCCGGCGGGCAAAATACATAAGAACAAGCGTCCCAGAGAGAACGGTGGAAATTTGTCACTGATACTAGGGGGAGAGAGAGACGTCCACACCCAACGAAGGCTGACGCAGTCTTCCACAGGGGTCCTCTATAATCCAATGTAATTTCAATATAATCAAATCAAAACTATGGTGAAATGTGGTGTACCGACATAAATTCATACATATTATTATTATTATAATCAAGGGGGAAGCGCTAAACCCGGAGGATTATACAGCGCCTGGGGGGGGGATGTGGAAGGCATTCAGGCTTAATTCGGGGAACTGGAGCACAGATCCAATTCCCTAAATCAAGAGCCCCTCACCAACATCAAGGAACCTTCCTTGAGGGGAAATTCATACATAAATATTAATGATATTCTGATTTATAGAAAGATCCCTAATAATCCGGGACACCTCGGCCTAACACGTCCCAGGAACCACATAATTGACGGTGTATATCTTGAACCAAATAATACCACAAAATTATTATACACGCCGATGTTATTATATAAAAACCGGCTTACATTATACCAATAAACAGTATAAATTAATTTATACTTTACCAGACACACGTACCTTCACAGTACTCATGTTGCCACGTGTTGGTGTTGCTGGGGTTTATAGAGTCACTGAGAGTTTGTGCCGTATCGAGCCTTCCTGTGTCCGAAAAAAAAAAACACCTCGACCACAATGGAGGGAAATTAAGATAAGATTTCGTTCGGATTTTTAACCCTGGAGGGTTATCCACCCAGAATAACCCAAGAAAGTCAATGCGTCATCGAGGACTGTTTGTCTTATTTCCATTGAGGTCCTTAATCTTGTCCCCCAGGATGCCACCCACACCAGTCCACTAACACCCGGGTACCTACTTGCTGCTAGGTGAACAGGACAACAGGTGTAAGGTGATTAATACCCAGGTACCTACTTGCTGCTACGTGAACAGTGACAGCAAGTGTAAGGAAACGCGTCGAAATGTTTCCACCCCGCCGGGAACCGAACCCGGGCTTTCCGTATGTGAAGCGAGAGCTTCGCCAGCCAGGCAACGGGGCCACAGGTGACTAATGGTTGTTCATATTGTGTCCCCAATGTGCTCTGAGACCAGCAAGAAGGCGCAGGTACAACCCAGGATCTCCTGAATGTCTGGAAAGTCAAACACTTCCCCATCAAAGGACCCCAATGGAAATAAGTCACTCTGACTTTTTTGGGTCATCCTATGTTCTCTACACATATGCTGCTATGTATGATAATTATCATACACAAATACAGCTACATAGATTATAATCTATGTAACTGTATTTGTGTATACCTGAATAAACTAACTGTTGCTATTGTTTTGAAGGTTCAATGGTTGTTAAGATTCCCTCAGGGTTACACCTTATTGAGCACTATGTAAATCAGTTTAGTATTTAGGTACAGATGCACATAATAGTAATACTAATAATCTTTATTTACCACAAGTACATGTACAAGGTATAGAGACCATAACTCACGAAATCGTAATGACACGATTGCAAACAAACCATACCCCGGCCAGGATTGATTATTATTATTATAATCAAGGGGGAAGCGCTAAACCCGGAGGATTATACAGCGCCTGGGGGGGGGATGTGGAAGGCATTCAGGCTTAATTCGGGGAACTGGAGCACAGATCCAATTCCCTAAATCAAGAGCCCCTCACCAACATCAAGGAACCTTGTTAGGTAAGACACATATGCAACAGTTAGGTATCTTTATTTCGAAACGTTTTGCCTACACAGTAGGCTTCTTCAGTCGAGTACAGAAAAGTTGATAGAAGCAGAAGAGACTTGAAGACAATGTAATCAGTCCATCACCCTTAAAGTTTTGAGGTGGTCAGTCCCTCAGTCTGGAGAAGAGCATTGTTCCAAAGTCTGAAACAATATGGAGTTGAAGTGACAGGATGGAGCCTTATATAGCGCCAGGAGGTGAGACGTAGGTCACTAGTAGAACGGAGATGTTGGGAGGTCAGGTCCCTCTCAAATCCAGCCGTTCTCACTAGTAGAGGTTGTGGAAGTTGATTTAAGGTCTGTACCAAGATACCCTTGTGTTGCAGTGTCTGACAGGTTGTCGGTATTTTATACCATTTTAGAGATAAGATAAGATTTCGTTCGGATTTTTAACCCCGGAGGGTTAGCCACCCAGGATAACCCAAGAAAGTCAGTGCGTCATCGAGGACTGTCTAACTTATTTCCATTGGGGTCCTTAATCTTGTCCCCCAGGATGCGACCCACACCAGTCGACTAACACCCAGGTACCTATTTGCTGCTAGGTGAACAGGACAACAGGTGTAAGGAAACGTGTCGGAATGTTTCCACCCGCCGGGAATCGAACCCGGGCCCTCCGTGTGTGAAGCGGGAGCTTTAGCCACCAGACCACCTGTCAGACACTGCAACACAAGGGTATCTTGGTACAGACCTTAAATCAACTTCGACAACCTCTACTAGTGAGAACGGCTGGATTTGAGAGGGACCTGACCTCCTAACATCTCCGTTCTACTAGTGACCTACGTCTCACCTCCTGGCGCTATATAAGGCTCCATCCTGTCACTTCAACTCCATATTGTTTCAGACTTTGGAACAATGCTCTTCTCCAGACTGAGGGACTGACCACCTCAAAACTTTAAGGGTGATGGACTGATTACATCGTCTTCAAGTATCTTCTGCTTCTACCAACTTTTCTGTACTCGACTGAAGAAGCCTACTGTGTAGGCGAAACGTTTCGAAATAAAGATACCTAACTGTTGCATATGTGTTTTACCTAACAACTTGTCGGTATTTTATACCATTTTAATGATCAAGGAACCTTCCTTGAGGGGGCCGGGATTGAACCCGCGGTCAGAAAGTCTCAAAACTCCAGCTAACGCGACAGGCTGGAGTTTTGAGACTTTCTGACCGCGGGTTCAATCCCGGCCGGGGTATGGTTTATAGAGACCATAGTTGACATCAATGACATACTACTATATAGAAAGCCCCTTGTTATGCTGGGCATTTCCCGTAAATTAGGTTAATTTTATCCCAGGATGCGACCCACACCAGTCCACTAACACCCAGGTACCTATTTTACTGCTAGGTGAACAGTGATAGCAGGTGTAAGGTAACTACATGTACCTATTTACTGGTAGGTGAATAATGACAGCAGGTGTAAGGTGACTAACACCAGGTACCTACATACTGCTAGGTGAACAGTGACAGCAGGTGTAAGTCACTAACTCCAGGTACCTACTTACTGCTAGGTGAACAGTGACAGCAGGTGTAAGGTGAATAATCCCAGGTACCTACTTACTGCTAGGTGAACAGTGACATCAGGTGTAAGGTGACTAACACCAGGTACCTACTTACTAAGTGAACATGGACAGCAGGTAAGATAAGATAAGATAAGATTTCGTTCGGATTTTTAACCCTGGAGGGTTAGCCACCCAGGATAACCCAAGAAAGTCAGTGCGTCATCGAGGACTGTCTAACTTATTTCCATTGGGGTCCTTAATCTTGTCCCCCAGGATGCGACCCACACCAGTCGACTAACACCCAGGTACCTATTTGCTGCTAGGTGAACAGGACAACAGGTGTAGGGAAACGTGTCGAAATGTTTCCACCCGCCGGGAATCGAACCCGGGCCCTCCGTGTGTGAAGCGGGAGCTTTAGCTACCAGGCCACCGGGTACCTACTTACTAAGTGAACATGGGCAGCAGGTGTAAGGTGACTAACACCACGTACCTACTTACTGCTAGGTGAACATGGACAGCAGGTGCAAGGTAACTAACACCAGATACCTACTTACTGCTAGGTGAACATGGACAGCAGGTGCAAGGTAACTAACACCAGATACCTACTTACTGCTAGGTGAACATGGACAGCAGGTGCAAGGTAACTAACACCAGGTACCTACTTACTGCTAGGTGAACATGGACAGCAGGTACAAGGTAACTAACACCAGGTACCTACTTACTGCTAGGTGAACATGGACAGCAGGTGCAAGGTAACTAACACCAGATACCTACTTACTGCTAGGTGAACATGGACAGCAGGTGCAAGGTAACTAACACCAGGCACCTACTTACTGCTAGGTGAACATGGACAGCAGGTGTAAGGTAACTAACACCAGGCACCTACTTACTGCTAGGTGAACATGGACAGCAGGTGTAAGGTAACTAACACCAGGCACCTACTTACTGCTAACAGCAGGTGGAAACACCTAATGTTTCCTCTCGTACCAGACGTTAAAAATCTCAACAAATTTATGCTCATCTTAAGATATTTAATATTATTATTGTTATCTACTAATTTATTTTTTAATACTGTCACCACAAATTACTTGGTTAGGGAGATAAATCAGTGATATAATTTGATTTATTATAGGTTATGTGTATATATATATATATAATATATATATATATATATATATATATATATATATATATATATATATATATATATATATATATATATATATATATATATATATATATATATATATATATATATATATATATATATATATATATATATATATATATATATATGAAGCTTATGATGTATGTGGTAATTTGTATTATTTATATTAATTGATTTTAATTAAATAGAAATTTTTTTTTATAGAAAATTGGGGGAAAAATTCGACCAGTCTAAATTCTCAGTGTTTTAAATTCCAACTTATGAAGAATATTTCCATAAGTTGAAGAAAAAGTGGCATTATTTCAAGTTTGTTAATGTGACTTTTGAGTGTTAATAATGTGTGTTAATGGATAGAGTTAAAAATAGTGGTTAAAATGGTATGATGTTTGATGTGTTGAAAAATATTGGAACCTTCTGGCTGGTGTAAACATCATGGCGGGTGACAGTGAGAAGCCTCTGGATGAAAGCAAGAGTTATATGGGTATACCTGAGGCCCAGTTTGTGGTAAGTAGGTGTAGTGATGGTGTTTGTTAAGTAGGTGTAGGGGAGGGTAGAGTAGGTGAGGTGGGAGGAAGCAGGTACCTGTGCCACCATCACCTGAGTCATGCTGTCATCTCTCTCTTGCTCGTATTGATGTACTTCCAGGTTCCTTGATGATGCTGAAGGGGCTCTTGATTCGGGGAGTTGGAGATGTTCTTCCAGGGATCAGAGGTGATGGATGAAGCAGCTACCCCCTGCCATCACCTGAGTCACTCTGCCATCTGTCTTGTATTACTCTCGTTGATGTAGCTCTGGGGTCTGGAGGAGTCGCCGATGTTCCAAGTCGCCGACCCCTTCAAGGGAGGGCTCTTAATGCCGGTGAGGGGCTTTTGATCCAAGGAATTGGACTTGCCCTTCCTCTCCTTGCATTGAGCCTGGATGCCTCCCAGTCTCTCAGGGGTTGTATGGCCCCTATAGGTTTAGCACTCCCCTATCACTAATAATAATCCAAGTTCTGAACATCAGCAATAAAATATAATGAGTCATGCAACATCATTAATAATATCAATATATGATCACATAATTTATCCCTCGATAGGTGTGTATTATTTCTACACTTGCATATGTATTTTCATCATTTTGTTAACATTTAAATATGCATAAACCATACCACAGGTGGGGTTAGAACCCGCAGTCAGAGTCCATTGTATGGTTTGTTTGCAATCGTGTCATTACGATTTCGTGAGTCATGAAATTGTATTTTTTGTCTTACGTGACAGTTTAGTATTTACAGAATTGTAATGCATTTGATGTTGTTGAATTGGTGTTTTGTGGCTCAGTTAGTAGCCACTTCAGCTCACACACTGAGGGACTGGGGGTTCGATCCCCAGCATGAGTGAAAATGTTCGGTATGTTTCCTCACACCTGCTGCCCCTGTTTTCGTAGTTAGAAGCAGGTATGTGGGTGTTATGACTTGTGGGTCGCACCCTGAGGGTGAGGGTTAAAGGACCGCAGTGGAAATAAGACAAGATAGTCTAATGACAATCCTGATCTTGTATCAAGATACTGACACTGATGACCCGTACAGTGGGTCATTAAGTCATAAATACACATGTATTTGAGAGTTGATGAAAACTCATGACAGCAAGGGTTACACAATGTGCATGTAACCCTTATAGTCAAGAAGGTATTTATTTTATTTATTGATTTAAGTTATGTGATGTTCATCTCATATGATTTATAATGTTTTTGAAAATTGGCATAAAAAAAAAAAACCAGCTAAACTCGGTACTGACCATAATTTCTGTGGTCTTAGCAAACTTACTTGAGCCCAGTATTTGAGTAAGAATTATTACATATTAACAGTTACATGTATTATTGCATGTATAGCTTAGTTTCAGATAAAATTTCAGGCTTGCATAATTATGAGCAATACCTGTCACGTATATACACAGTAAATACTTGTTCTGTTTACAGGAAGATGTCGACACATTTATGAAGAAAGAGGATAATGCAAATGCACAAGATGTTATTAAGCGCTTAGATGAGCAACTGAACAAATACAAGTTTATGGAAGTTCATCTACAAGCAAGACGTAAAAAGTAAGCCACTGTAATTATGGTTACATACAGTAATACTGTAAATAGATTTTTGTTATGCCCTTTTTGGTAGAGTTTTCTTCCCAATTTACTATTGTGGCCCCTTGTTCTCACATTTTTATGGTGCTAAAATTCTTAAATGGGTAGTGCCTTGATTCTGGTGAAGCTACCTTCCCTTACCTTGGATCAGTCTTGATTGCTTACATTGCCTTATGTGATTCCTCTGGGCTCAGCACTTCTCTTTGTATATAATAATGTAATATGGTGTTAAAAAAAATTTCCCTTCATCCTTTTATAATGGTAAATGTAGTTATGAGTTTGTATTTTGCTATTCCTGCAAGCTGCAGGTTTGAGAAAGTGGTTCTAATGAATGTTGGTAAGGATTATTAAGAATAGGCTTATATTTTAGTGCTCATGACATGACATACAAAAATAAACAATTTAAGTTTATATCGAAGATGAAATATTTGTGTAGTTTAACTAATGAACATTTTTGCAGGTTAAAATCTCAGATTCCTGACATCAAGAGTTCTCTACAAATAGTGAAAGAAATGAAGACCAGGAAGGACACAGCAGAAGTCATTGAGACTCGGTTTCTACTCTCAGATCAAGTGTACATGAAAGCTAGCATCCCACCTACAGATCGGGTTTGCCTTTGGCTAGGGGTGAGTGATATGCTTGTTGAAATCATGTGTACAGTGGACCCCCAGTTCACGTTACTAATCCGTTCCTGAGAGCTCATCGTAAAGCAAAATTATCGGAAAGCGAATCAATTTTCCCCATAAGAAATAATGGAAATCAAATTAATCCGTGCAAGACGCCCAAAAGTATGAAAAAAAAAAAACTTTTACCACATGAAATATTAAGTTTAATGCAATAGAATAATTACAATAACAATAATAACAATAGAATAAACACAATAGAATAATTGACATTTGCCTTTAATGAAGATCTGGTGAGGATGGGATGGGAGGAGGGGAGAGTGTCGAAGTTTTTAATGTTTAGAAGGGGAATCCCCCTCCATTAGGACTTGAGGTAGCAAGTCCTTTTCCGGGGTTACTTCCCTTCTTCTTTTAATGCCAGCTAGAAGCTTTCTTGGGGCCCATGGTGACTTATTTTGCAGAAACAAGCACCAGAAACAGTGATAATATGGAATGTACCGAATGTATCCTTAGATGCACGCACACTGGCTGGCTTGTAAACACTGGCACACACGGGGCAGTTCAGGCCACATGTGGACATGTCTCGTACGAATCGTATCGCGTACCGGGTTTTGTAACAGGAACCGAGGCAAATTTTTTGCGATATAACGCTTCGGATACCGGATTTATTGGTTACCGATGACTTCGCGAAGCGGGGGACCACTGTATTACATTGGCAGGTTAATGTGATGTTTGAATATGGCTTAAAGTTTGCTGAACGTGTTTTAATAATAAGTTATCTGATATTGGCAGGCTAATGTGATGTTGGAGTATGGCTTGGAGGATGCTGAAGGTCTTTTATCCAAAAATTTGGGAAATGCCACGAAGAATCTAACTCAAGTGGAGCATGATCTTGATTTTTTGAGGTAATTTTGAGGCTTCTTTCAAATTGATATCTGATTATAGACCATCAGCTAGACCTTTAAAGTAGTAAATCATGCAAACTTATTCCACAAATTGCATGGGATAAAAAAGTTGTCTCCATGGGGAAGTGGAACAGAATTCTTCCTCCGTAAGCAATGCATGTTGTAAGAGACGGCTAAAATGCCAGAAGCGTGAGGCTAGTAACCCCTTCTCCTGTATGTATTACTAAAGTTAAAAAGAGGAACTTTCGTTTTTCTTTTTGGGCCACCCTGCTTCAGTGGGATACGGCCGGTTTGTTGAGAGGAGAAGAAAGCTGTATTATATGCATACTCGTGCACTTTTGCTCTTATTTGTCTAAGACACTGACAAAAGTGCTCTGTTGATGAAGCCAGTTACAGTGGCACCCTGGCAGCACATCTGCTGTGTGTTGATGCCATGGTCGAAAATTCCTTATTGGTTACAGTATTCACAATACATGTACTCTACAACTAAACAAAAAGAAATCTAACTTTGTTTATTTTCCACAGAAATCAATGCACAACAACAGAAGTGACGATGGCCCGTATTTACAATTGGGATGTCAAGAGGCGACGAGCAGAAAAAGCAGCAGCAGAAGACAAGTCCAAAGGAAGAGGGAGAGGAAAGGGAAAAGACTACAGTTTTGAATAATGGAATTATGATTTGATGTTTTTCGTTATCTTTTAACTTCATTTTTTCCCCCTAACCTTGTTATCTGGTGTAAATCATCAGAATGGATCAGGGTATGAACAAGTGACTGCATATAATACTATATTAAATTAAGATTCTAAAGTAAACTGAGAACTGTATTGCCTTACTTTTTATTTTCATTGATATCAAATTCAGTACTATTATTAACATTTTAAGTGTTTTAATCAGTTCATTCCCATGTCATGAGGTATATTTTTAATTAAAAGTTACTCCCCAAAATTTACTTAAGGTATTCCTTGACGCATTTGAAATTTCATCTGATATTCACTTTGCTACATGCTTTTAACTTTGCTCAAGTGATATTGTTGCCAGATAATTTTCGTTTAATGGGTTCACACTAAAGATGTTGACATTAATAAAATTGTTGGCAATTGGTTTTCAGAATTTCTGACACTGCTTTATGCTAATATCACTTTTTCTGGCCTTCAAATTTATGAAACCTGCATAATTTTGAAGCTGCCTATGAGCATGCTAGTCTTATATATTACTTAAGTTAGGACCAGATTATCTGATGAGTATTGGTGAATGGCATAAGCTTTTCCAAGGTAGATAAGGTATTGTACATTGAATCTTGTAGTATTGAACAGACAGGTGTGTAGGTTCAACCCTTCTTGATCCACCCTCTCCTAACTTGTTACCTTTATTTTTTTGTGTAGTTTGAAACTTAATTTTAAGGTTTCGTTTATATAGAAATGTGTATCGAAGATTGAGGTGTGAACCAGTGGACATATTCTCTAAGACCTCATTTTTAAATATTATTTTATATATTAGAATGGGAAGACTAATGTGATGCCATGTCACTTCATGTTAAAAGAAATCACAAGAACAACAACATAATTTATGGCCTTACTTAGTTTGTAGGAATTAAATTTTTCATAGCACAAACCAGTTGAAGGAGAGGTGCAATTTTCATAACTATAATCTTGGTACTTTTGCTTTAATTTTCCCTCTGTGATGTTTAACGAAGTACACGATACTAATCCCTGTTTATTCATTACAAAATTTAGCATCATACCATACTACTACTATAATTCAAAAATGTGATTTTGTAAAAAAGTGCATTTTATTTTAATCATTTGAGATTAATTGGATGTGTTTTTGAGCAAAAGTAATTCTGCTTGTCTCAATAAATAGAATACTAAATCTTGTATTATTTTTAACCCTGTCAGGGTCCAGAGGCCAAATCTCAGTGTGAGCCAGGGTCCAAGAATTTTGAAAAAAAAAAAAAAAAAAAAGTCATGGAATTAAAGATTTTTTTCTAAAGGTAATAAAACAAAAAAAAAAATCTGATCAGTACTTACCAAGATATAGAGGCATGAAGGTGACCCTCAATGACCAGGTGGCGGCAACATCTGCGACTTGCGTAAAGTCGCATTTTTTATTTTACTAGTTTTTTTTTCCACTACCATTTGTGGCCTGTGAGAACAATATAGTATAATTATATACTATTTATGAGTGTATTTATATACACTCCTTGCAATGAACACAATAACCACACTGAAGTTTTTATATTATTATTCATGTTTACAATAATAATGTACATTAGTAATGTTCTATTACATATGTACAGTCACTGGACATGTTTCTAGAACTGATGCAGTCTGTAGAAGTCTTTGAAACAAGGTATCATGCACAGTGGTATCTTACATTCCTTGCACATAAACCGAGTGTCTGTGTCTTTGCTGCTGTCGTTTTGTTTGTGCACAGACAGCACATCTCTTCTGAGACCATTTCTTCTTAGTTGCAGGAAGCTGTATTAGGAAGTGATCACCTTCCCGCCTCAAACACTTGGGTAATTCCTGATCAGTTCGTGGACGGTTTTGTGTAGCAGGTGTTGTTACCTGGTACTCTATTATTAGTTGTCTGTCGACAGATAAACAAAATTCATCACATGGTCTGTTGCCGGTCTTTATTTGGTACACTGAGCATTTTAATGTCTATGAGATTGAGGAAAAGTTTCGTGTACCACTTGTAACTCTTACAAACACAATTGACAAAGCCAATCTGCACGTCACATTTGTCAACCAAACGCATGTTTTGTGTATAATCAACCACTGTTGCTGGTTTTAGAATACGTTCATTAGTCACTACCCACATTGCCACTCTTTCATTTCGTTATGGTGAGTGGATGTCAACAATGTGACATTTCATTTGTCATGCCACCGTAATGCCATGATGTTATTGGCAGTAAACACCTGCATCTCACCACTACGAGTGCTTGCATTGAAACTGGGCCTATGTTTACGATTAGAACGCACTGTGCCACACACATCTGTCATGTTCACTCGCAAGAAATCAACGAGTAAGGGGCTTGTGTACCAGTTACCAGTATATAATGTATGCCTCTTGCCAAGATATAGTGCTATCATTGTTCTCACTACATCACCAGAGATACCCAATAACATCCTGATATCTTTCAATGTTTTACTTCCCTGTGTATACAATTATGTTCAATACCAGGCCACACTTGCAGTCACAGAGTAAACAATTTTATACCCAGTTTTATAACCTGTTATCTCTGTCAGGCCTGGTTTTGTCAGAGATGATTCCACTGAAGGCCAGGGTTGAAATTAGCCGACCTGTGAACCAGTATGATTTGATGTTATGCTTGTAGACACAAGGCATAAGCATTATGGTTGCAAAAAACAAATACATTTCAGCCACATTTCTCTTTCCATCGGTGTAATCTTGACTGTGGTGACATGATTGTATTTGCCATGGTGTATTCAAAATACTTGTTACTTTCCCTGACAATATTTTCCATCAAGGGCTGACCAAAGAATGGTTCAAACAATTCCAGTTCATTTGTAGTGTTTCCAAGGAAACAATCTGGCAGGATTCTACCGAGTGTCATCAAACATGGGGATTTGGAACAAAATTGGGATTTTGCTGGCAATCCCAGATGTGGTTTGCTGATGGATACTGGACATCATAAGCTAGTTATGGTTGTGGTGTCAGGGAGGATGACGCTCCACTTTGTCCTGGACCTGATAAGTCAGCGGCGTGGGTCCCAGCCTGGGCTGGTGCGTCATGCTGTGTGCCCGTGGCACCACCACCACCACTACTATCACCACCATTAGCACCACCTACTGACACCTGTGCTCTATCCGTACCAAGTGTAGCCACATCGTCCTTACTTTCACTGTTTATTCCAGGCGTAGGGCAACGGGATGTACTCTGTCCCCTTGGAATTGCATATGGTACACTACCCAAGCGCATGCAGCTGTGTATATACTGACGCTTCACTGGTGAATATGATTCATCGCTATCACTACTCGAATGGTCATCAAGAGCAATAAAATCAAAGTCCATGTCACTATCACCACCATTACTCAAGTCCGAGGCCTGGCCACGCGAAAATATTTGTTTTCTCTTGCAACAAGGTACAACCGAACATGACTGAGACACACCAGCACCCGAGGTGGAAGGTTGAGGGTCGTCAGGATTTTCGGCACTATTTTCGATATGTTGATCATTGCTTTTGGTCACAAATTGATCAAAACCATAGAATACCTCTTCAGATCCATTTCCATCACTGTCAGCACTACCAGTTAGGAAGAGGAGATCCCCAATTCGCCTCGGAGTGAGAGATGTCTTGCCATGAGGCATGGTGGACAAAGCATACCGAGGCGGCATTCCCACAATGCCATGCAGGCGCCCAGTTTTTGTTTACTGCGCACATGAACCATGCAGATCCATTCACTTAGATGTAGGCCTACCAGCCTTCTCGCACTAAATTTGAGGCCGCTAGAATTTTGGCATAGTTGTACGGTTTGAACCCAGGCTTCAAAGCCTAATAGACCTATGGTACAGACCCTGAAAGGGTTGAGAGTAGGCGTATGTTAAGTCACCATCTTGACTGGTCCTTGGAATATTTAATAACCAAGTAAATGATCCAGGTAGTGGAGCTGTTGGAGTTTGCTGCTACCGAGTGTACTACTAAGGAGATTAGGTAGGGATGACAGGTTCCTAATGACTACTTTGTAAGCTAAACTTTTACTGTATTCCTTAGTGGAGGTTTCTTATACGTAGTTTCTTATTGTCAGTTTGCTATTGCCTTGTACATCTGCATTGTCTCTGTGTAGTCACTGACATTCTCATTCTTTAACAGTTTGTTCCCCCTCAAGGCAGCATTAAAGTGATGGAAATCACAATCTTCCTTGATACCTTTAGCTTCTGGTGGGGAAGCATTTCCTTACCAAGGCAGCTGCACCATACAAAGGCTCAAATGCTTCCCTGCATGTTAGCCCACTCATGGGAGGCTCCTTGTTGCCAAAGGGGCTCTTGATACAAGGAATTGAAACTGACCTTCTTTGGATTAAACCAGACTGGTTCCCATTTCCCCTGGCACTGCACGACCCTACAGGTATAGAGCTGCTCCCTCCCCCAATGATGTAATAATTAACAGTGAGACTGGGTATTAATTAATGCTGTGACTCATATTCAGCACTTTTCTGATAATTACCAGAAGCTATAGTAAAAGGAAAGACTTCTGTGCACTTTTTTGCCCGAGGGTAAATAACATTGCTGCTCTGTTGCTTTGTTACCTCAGCAGATATCAATGGGCACCAAGGAAGGTACCGTGATGCTGGTGAACTTTTTATACAAGCAATTGGAGCCATTCTCCCATTTCTTGGATCCAACCAGATATCACTTTCTTCCTCCCAAATACTCTAACATCCACAGGTTTATAGCTCTTTCCCAGAAGTGCTGTGCGAGTCATGTAGTGCTGTATGACCCTAGTGGGTTTAGCACTTGGTTTTGATTTAAGATAGTAATGTGCAAGCCATTTGTACCGATTTTTTTAAAATTGCCCCATGAGTATCACAGAAAAGGGAATGGTAATTTAAAAACTTTGCAGGGACTAATAAAGCAATATTAATTTTTAATTTTATTGAAAATATATATTTTAATGTTAAGGAATAAAGTAATTCTGATGCACAGTAAAAATGATACATTCTTCCTAAACCAGTTATGAATTCCACATAAGCTTGAGAGAAGTGTATGATAGGCTCTACCATTCCAAACCAAAACTTTCACCAAAAGAAGTGATTAATTGCATTTGAATAAATTTTATAATTAAAAATGGACTGCCCACTATCAACAAGCACACAGAATTTACCTCCAACATCGTTGCCACTCTACTGCCCTTACTTTACTTTCCCTTCTTGCTGATGGACCCTCCTTTAACTCAGACTCGCATTGACTGATTTACTGATTTACTGCACAAACTCTGATGATGATGACTAGCACTCCTCACAGCCCCTTCTACCTTAATCTCTTGCTACCCTCTACCCCTGCACTAACCACTGCCTTGCTGCACTCCATTTTATTATGATAATAATGAAGCGCTAAACCTACAAGGATGATACAGCGCAGCAGGACAGGGAAGGGTGCAGGGGTATTGGGAAGCAAGAGGAGAAGGATTATTATTTTTAAGTCATGGAGTGCAATGGGGCAGTGGATAGTGCAGGGGTAGAGGGTAACAAAAGATTGAGGTAGAAAGGGCTGTCAGGAATGTCAGAGGCATCATTATCAGAGTTTATGCAGTAAATCAGTTAGTTGCTATCAAAAAGTCAACAGGAGAGTCAGGGTTAAAGGAGAATCCATCAGCAAGAAGGGAAGGTAAAGTAAGGGCAGTAGAGCAGGATAACATTGGAGGTAAATTCTGCATGCACACTGATAGAGTGGGCAGTACAACAGAATATGGCTAACAGAACCTGGAACCTGACAATTCTCAGAGTGGAACAGGGCACCTCTTCATGAGAGACCCGTGAGTAAGATGAGCTGCACTCCATGACCTAATAATCCCTCCTGCTACCCACTACCCCTGCATCGTTTCCTGCCCTGCTGAGCTGTATGACCCATGTAGGTTTAACGCTTCTTTTCTGATAATAATATAATTAAAATGCAAGTTATTACTGTAACATTATTCCTAAATATAATGTCCAAATAATAATGATTGCTAATTCAACACCAAACAGCATTTACAATAATTTCAGTACCAGTATTTACATTTGCCTGTACAGAGGAAAATGCAGAGTTGCCAAAAAATACAAGAATTTCCCCCCTTATATATTACTAAAACTTACAGATCTTCATCTAAAGTTTTTTTTTTTCTTTTAACACATCTGGCATTTCCCACTGAGGCAGGGCGACCCAAAAATAAAGAAAAAAAATTCCATCATCGTTCAACAATTTCATCATCCATACATAATCACTGTCTTTGCAGACACTCTGACGACAGTTTAGATGTCCCTCCAAAGAAATTGTTCCTGAACATTAATATCTGCTTTTTTTCACTACCTGAAATCTCAGTTATAAAATTATAATCGTAACTAAGTGCTAAACCCACAAGGGTTCTTAAGTATCAATCTGAATTGAAAGTAGTAATTTAATTATATGAAGTGCTAATCAAATCATTTAAGTAAAAGCACTTACAAGTAGTGTGAAAATTAAAGTAGCCACCATACAATTTAAATCATATTTCGTCTAAGTACATCAAACTAAAGCTCCAACTCAACCAAAAAAAAAAAAAAAAAATGCATAAAATTTCTGCAGGTACATCAAATTAATGGCCCAACCACTCACCATTTGTTTATTTATGGATTAAAATAATCAAGACACTAAAAACAAATATGTACCAAATTAAAGCTAAACTTCCAACTGTAAAGTAAGTTTCAGTTCATCATTTCAACATAAACAGTTTTCCACCAAAAATGAGAACAAAATAAATGTAACAAAGATACTGACATTCAATGTAAAATGCAACTTTTTAAATCATGTTTTAAGTGTGTTTGTGCGACCACACAAAAATCAGATAATACAGCATTTTATTCTCTTTAGTTTCAAACATTTTGCAATAATAATTTAAATTCATTGAGATCCTATTGTAATACTTACTCTCAAACCTTGTGAAAATAAAATTTATAAAAATAAAACCTGATTTAATTTGGTGTGCATAAGAATATACTTCTTTCTTTCTTTCAACACACCGGCCGTATCCCACCGAGGTGGGGTGGCCCACAAGGAAAAACGAAAGTTTCTCCTTTTACATTTAGTAATATATACAGGAGAAGAGGTTACTAGCCCCTTGCTCCCGGCATTTTAATCGCCTCTTACAACACACATGGCTTATGGAGGAAGAATTCTGTTCCACTTCCCCATGGAGATAAGAGGAAATAAACAAGAATAAGAACTACAAAGAAAATAGAAGAAAACAAGAGGGGTGTGTATATATATGCTTGTACATGTATGTGTAGTGTGACCTAAGTGTAAGTAGAAGTAGCAAGACGTACCTGAAACCTTGCATGTTTATGAGACAGAAAAATGGACACCAGCAATCCTACCATCATGTAAAACCATTACAGGTTTCCGTTTTACACTCACTTGGCAGGACGGTAGTACCTCCCTGGGTGGTTGCTGTCTACCAACCTACTACCTACATGGATATACTTAGCTTCCATAAATAAAGGGTTTCCATTTTTTTTTTTACTTCAATGGTCGTCTCCCATGTATAGGAGGAAACACGTTCACCATCATTTAGTCCATACATCAGGTTACTGGAAAAAATATTTTATTCCATAGGTATTGCTTTACTTCATCACCATCATCCTAGGAGCAATATTCATGGACATGAGCTCTTGAAACAGCAATTTACATGCATATGGGAGTCTCACTTGTGAGATCTGTAAAGGAAACATAATATTAAAAGTTCTCATACAAAACAAGCTATTCTTTACATTCTACATGCTGGAACTATTATTATTATTATAGTCATAACTAGGTGCTAAACCCATAAGGGTCAAATGTTGGAACTATTCCCAAGGATGAACACCATATTTTGTCTACATACCAAACTCAGTCATAAATTATTGGGTATATTTTAAGCAGATAGACTAGTATTTTTTATGTAGTTAGGTAGATACACAAATAACCCGCACATAAAAGAGAGAAGCTTACGACGACGTTTCGGTCCGACTTGGACCATTGACAAAGTCAATGTGACTTTGTCAATGGTCCAAGTTGGATCGAAACGTCGTCATAAGCTTCTCTCTTTTATGTGCGGGTTATTTGTGTATCGTTCCAGTCACGGTATTGTGCCTTTTTTGTTATTTAGTTAGGTAGAATTGTCAGCATTACGCTCATGCAGAGAAATTGCCCACCCATGCCTCGTGTATGCATGTAAACTTCCTACAAATGTCCACTTTTCCCTTTTTCATTACCTTTACTTCTTTCTCTCATCACCTCTGTTCTCTTATGTCCATTTTGAGCTTCCTTCTTTTACACACCTTGTCAAGCTCCTCCACTAACCTTTGCATCTTTTACTGTCTCGAAGAACACTGGACATTAGCAAAGAGCAATTGTGACAACACTTACTAATCCCAATGAACTTTTACATAACTACATTTAAAAACATTGTCCATTTCCCACCATAGCTGTTTTTATTGAATAATAACCAACCTGAATTCCCAAATGCAGGTACTGTACTGCACTTTCCCCTTTTTTTTTTTTCTAACACGTCAGCCATCTCCCACCAAGGCACGGCGACCCAAAAAAGAAATGCTTTCGCCATCATTCAACACTTTCACAATCAGTCTTTGCAGAGGCCCCCAGATACAACAGTTTAGATGTCACTCCAAACAGCCAATATTGGAAGGAGTAAGTAAAGAACGGTATCCATGAAAATGGTCACCCAGCAAGTGTGCTATCCATGACAATGGTCACCCAGCTAGCATGCTAACCATGACAATGGTCACCCAGCAAGTGTGCTAACCATAACCATGGTCACCCAGCAAGTGTGGTAACCATGACAAATGGTCATCCAGCTAGCATGTTAACCATGACAATGGTCATCAGATAATTATGATCAGTGAGAAGCTCTAAACCTATCAAATTAATTTTGCATTTGGTGAACTGGAGGTAATGAAGTTTTATCAGGAAAAAGGGAAGGGAGCTCCAATTCCTTGGATTGAAAGACCTTCATCAGCAGGCCCTTCCTGTGAAGGGAGGCAAGCATGACAGCCATGCAAAAACTCTTCCAATAAAACCAAATTACAATCACAATGATAACTAGTCTAGCATGCTAATCAAGACAATGGTTGTAGGATGTAAACTTCAATAACAAATAAACAAGATACTATAAAGACAACAGTTAATACTAACACAACTGCTAATACTAACTTGTTCATATATCCCAACATTACTGACAACTAAAATTTCATGCAATAATAAATAGAGTAAGTACATACTCTATGTTCATATAGTTGGACTTGAGTCCTGGAAATGGGAAGTACAATGCCTGCACTTTAAAGGAGGGGTTTGGGATATTGGCAGTTTGGAGGGGTATGTTGTGTATCTTTATACGTATATGCTTCTAAGCTGTTGTATTCTGAGCACCTCTGCTAAAACAGTGATAATGTGCGAGTGTGGTGAAAGTGTTGAATGATGATGAAAGTATTTTCTTTTTGGGGATTTTCTTTCTTTTTTGGGTCACCCTGCCTCGGTGGGAGACGGCCGACTTGTTGAAAAAAAAAAAAAAAAAAAAACATACTACATTATGTCTCAGAATGTTGAGTAAAAATTACAATAAATAGTTAATATATTTAGGATTACTGATAAAATTTTCAAAATTTATTTTATTTGCATAATTTTTTATGCAATCAGTGCCTGATTATAAAATGATACATACCTGAGTCTTGTTGCGACATCCCTTGCATTCAAAGGTATTGTTGCGTAGGTTTGCTATGCACATCAGCCCACACATGTTGCAAACATGGACAGAGTATGGGTCGCTGACCTCAAATAAACGCTCACGCAGGAACTGCGCAGCACCGTGAGCTATCTGGCAATCCCGCTCCATCTCACCAAATCGCAAACCACCTTCCCTGTATGAAACAGCAATACCATAAATCATTCACATATCTAGCCTAAAAAATTCACATTTTTACTTTCAAAATCATAAATTATGAATATTCACAATGTGTAATCAGAGCCTACTTATTCCAGCAAGCTATGAAAAAAAAAAAAACCACTACTCACCCACACTCATACACACAGTAGAGCTACAAGTGGAGGGGGAAGCAGGAAGGCCAGGGCAAATGAAGCCAAACTACAAGAAAGGGGACTACACGGGAATGAGGAACTTCCTGAACGGGGTTCAGTGGGACAGAGAACTGGCAGGGAAGCCAGTTAATGAGATGATGGAATATGTAACAACCATGTGCAAGGAGGCTGAGGAGAGGTTTGTACCCAAGGGTAACAGGAATAATGAAAAAGTCAGGATGAGCCCATGGTTCACCCAAAGGTGCAGGGAGGCAAAAACCAAGTGTGAAAGGGAATGGAAGAAATATAGAAGGCAAAGGACCCAGGAGAATAAGGAGAACAGTCGTAGAGCCAGAAATGAACATGCACAGATAAGAAGGGAGGCCCAACGACAATATGAAAACGACATAGCAGCGAAAGCCAAATCTGACCCGAAGCTGTTATACAGTCACATCAGGAGGAAAACAACAGTCAAGGACCATGTAATCAGGCTAAGGAAGGAAGGAGGAGAGACAACAAGAAATGACCGTGAAGTATGTGAGGAACTCAACAAGAGATTCAAAGAAGTGTTCACAGAGGAGAAGGGGTTCCAGAAAGACGGAGAGGTGGGGTACACCACCAAGTGCTGGACACAGTACACACAACCGAGGAAGAAGTGAAGAGGCTTCTGAGCGAGCTAGATACCTCAAAGGCAATGGGGCTGGATAACATCTCTCCATGGGTCCTGAGAGAGGGAGCAGAGGCGCTATGTGTACCCCTAACAACAATATTCAATACATCTATCGAAACAGGGAGATTGCCTGAGGCATGGAAGACAGCAAGTGTAATCCCAATCTTTAAAAAAGGAGACATGAAGCAATAAACTACAGACCAGTGTCACTGACATGTATAGTATGCAAAGTCATGGAGAAGATTATCAGAAGAGTGGTGGAACACCTAGAAAGGAATGATCTCATCAACAGCAGCTAACATGGTTTCAGGGATGGGAAATCCTGTGTCACAAACCTACTGGAGTTCTATGACATGGTGACAGCAGTAAGACAAGAGAGAGAGGGGTGGGTGGATTGCATTTTCTTGGACTGCAAGAAGGTGTTTGACTCAGTTCCACACAAGTGATTAGTGCAAAAACTGGAGGACCAAGCAGGGATAACAGGGAAGGCACTACAATGGATCAGGGAATATTCGTCAGGAAGACAGCAGCGAGTCATAGTACGTGGTGAGATGTCAGAGTGGGCACCTGTGACCAGCGGGGTCCCACAGGGGTCAATCCTAGGACCAGTGCTGTTTCTGGTATTTGTGAACGACATGACGGAAGGAATAGACTCCGAAGTGTCCCTGTTTGCAGATGACGTGAAGTTGATGAGAAGAATTCACTCGATTGAAGACCAGGCAGAACTACAAAGGGATCTGGACAGGCTGCAGACCTGGTCCAGCAATTGGCTCCTGGAGTTCAACCCCACCAAGTACAAAGCCATGAAGATTGGGGAAGGGCAAAGAAAACCACAGATGGAATACAGTCTAGGGGGCCAGAGACTACAAACCTCACTCAAGGAAAAAGATCTTGGGGTGAGTATAACACTAGGCAAATCTCTTGAAGCGCACATCAACCAAATAACTGCTGCACCATATGGGCGCCTAGCAAACCTCAGAACAGCATTCCCACATCTTAATAAGGAATCGTTCAGGACCCTGTACACTGTGTACGTTAGGCCCATATTGGAGTATGTGGCACCAGTCTGGAACCCACACCTAGCCAAGCACGTAAAGAAACTAGAGAAAGTGCAAAGGTTTGCAACAAGACTAGTCCCAGAGCTAAGAGGTATGTCCTACGAGGAAAGGTTAAGGGAAATCAACCTGACGACACTGGAGGACAGGAGAGATAGGGAGGACATGATAACGACATACAAAATACTGTGAGGAATTGACAAGGTGGACAAAGACAGGATGTTCCAGAGATGGGACACAGCAACAAGGGAACACAGTTGGAAGTTGAAGACACAGATGAATCACAGGGATGTTAGTTAGTATTTCTTCAGCCACAGAGTAGCCAGGAAGTGGAATAGTTTGGGAAGCGATGTAGTGGAGGCAGGATCCATACATAGCTTTAAGCAGAGGTATGATTAAGCTTACGGTTCAGGGAGAGTGACCTAGTAGCGACCAGTGAAGAGGTGGGGCCAGGAGCTTGGACTCGACCCCTGCAACCTCAACTAGGTGAGTACACACACACAGTGGTACCTCGTGTTACGAACTTAATTCGTTCCAGAAGGCTGTTCAAGTGCCAATACTGAACGAATTTGCTCCCATAAGGAATAATGTAAATTAAACTAGTCAGTTTCAGACCCCCAAGAATATACTTACAAAAGCACTTACAAAAATACACTTACGTAACTGTTCGAGTTGGGAGCTGTTCAAAACTTGAGGTACCACTGTATATATATAGCTGAGTATGGTGGCCAACGCTTTTATATGGGTGTGAGGCAGAATAACTATTACTCATAACCAAAATCATTTCCCATGAACTGCATAATTTTGAACGTACCTTGCACGACCTTCCATAGGCTGCCTAACCAGGATTTGCACAGGCCCTCTAGCACGGGAATGGATTTTATCATCCACCATATGCTTCAGACGTTGATAGTATGTGGGTGTTAAAAAAATTTGTGCATTCATCTTTCGTCCAGTGTGGCCACAGTACATAATCTGAAAAAAGGAGGAAGGAGTGACTGAGGAAGGAAGGAGGGAGAGGTTAAGAAGGATGGATTGCAAACTTAAATTCCCCAGAAAATACGATGAAGGATGACAAAGCAAGTCTTGAGGAATGTTTCCCCCACATATATAGGAAGGCATATTACATGCAGTGTTCCAATCAAGGGTAAATTTGCATGCCTCTGGTAAACAGTGTTGGAGTGAGTGATGATGAAAGTGTTTCTTCTTTTTTTGGATCACCCTGCCTTGGTGGGAACTGGTCAAAGCATTTAAAAAAAAAGTCCCCTACAGCTCAATGGAATAAAAGTAATTGGGATGAAGGGCAGTGCAGGATGCACTGTACATTCATGTTTGTTGTTTGTGGCCTTAAATGCTGGTACTGCATGCACTTTTCCAGTCTGCCTTAAATGCTCATAGCTCAAGTATTCTCCCAGTATGCCTTAAATGCTAATAATTCATGTACTCTCCCAGTTTGCCTCTATGTTTTAACACTTTCCTTCTCAATTTCATTCCCTTCCAGTTTTAGGCTACCCTTTACCAGAGCACTGAGATACCCTTTCCTCAAGAAAAGTGCCTTGATACCCAACTACAGCTGTTGACCAACAAAATGGATTTTTCTCCTATTTTTTGGCTGAAATCTTAATGTCTCCCATTCACCAGGGATTATATGAACCCCCCATGAGCTTATTGCTTCCCCTGATTAAAATAAATGTGCCAAATTACCCTATGACATTTTTCTCCACAAAATACTGCCTATTTTCTTAAAACCAACCTGTATATAAATATTCACACTGACTGTGTACAAGAGATCCTCTTGTACAACATCAAACATTTATCAAATGTAATAACCAAAGTAACTTATGAATGACTTACAAAATCATAACACGAGTGTAAACTTGTCTCAAAATGGATGGTATTCAAATCCATGGTAAGCCAGTGTGCTACCCACACTGGCCTAATAAAGCCAATATGGTACAGTAGTTAGAGCGCTGGCCTGCTAATGTTAAGACATTTAAAAGTAACACATTCTTCTGAATTTAAATACTGTAAATTATCAAAATAATAATCAAATAATGCAACAAAAATTTTTTCAAATGCTTGCATACTAAAATATGGAATAATGAAGTGCTAAAACTCTTTTTTCCATAAACCTTTCTGTACCCGTGTCATAAAATCTGAAATTACACAATAAACATTTACCTCATTGCCTCTCAAGTGATAACCATATTCTTGTAACAAATTAGAAATCTTCTGTACATTCACAGCATCGTTGAAAGGCGTAGCATCACCAATTTCACCTTTATTCGCACCAAGCTTCCCTTGAAGAGCCTCAATTAAATGGCCAATTGTCATTCGAGAAGGAATGGCATGAGGGTTAATGATAATGTCGGGTGTGATGCCTTCTACCGTGAAGGGCATATCCTGAAAAATTAATAAAATTTATTTATATGCAATACATCACCTGAGGAAGGTATGATCTACATGGAAAAATTATTGCAGATTAAAGAAAAATAGGTAAATACAGAATATAATACATTAGTACACTTATATGCATGGGACTATTTTTTTTCCACAAAAATAACATTAAATGGTAAATCAAGTAACTTGCCTCTACTCTGTACTGGATACCGCAAGTACCCTTTTGTCCATGCCGAGAAGCAAATTTGTCGCCAATCTGGGGGATGCGCACAGATCTTACACGAATCTTGGTGAAACGATCTCCATCCACATTCACAGTCAACATGACCTGTCGTACAAATTGCACCAAGAGCCATATAAACTCATTGCCAAATATTTTAAATAATTAAAATTATGCCTTACATACACGTCCCTGGCAAAACAGTGTCGAAAGAAACAGATGTATCAGTGTGTATGATGCCTATATATACAGTATCCTAGGTAGTAGGTTGGTAGACAACAACCACCCAGGGAGATATTACTGTCCTGCTAAGTGAGCATGAAATGGAAACCTGTACTTGTTTTATATTATGGTAAGATTGTTGGTATCTTCTTTCTGTCTCATAAACACTCAGGGTAACAGGTATATGTATTTTGCTACTTCTACTTACACTTATGTCACACTACACATGCATGCACACATATTTACACATCCATCTGGGTTTTCTTCTATTTTCTTAGTAGTTTTTTTGTTCTTTATTTCCTCTCATTTCCACTGAGAAGTGAAAAATAATCCTTCCTCAATAAGCCATGCACGTCATAAAAGGCGACTAAAATGCCGAGAGCAAAGGGCTAGTAACCCCTTCTCCTGCATAAATTACTAAATTTAAAAAAGAAAATTTTGGTTTTTCTTTTTAAGTCACCCTACCTCAATGGGATATTGCCGTTCATTAAAAAAAAATCAGTATGCATATATGTACTGAATTATTTTCAAAACATAACCCTGTATAATATTTTAAGACTGACAGGATTCTGGTTTCCAGTTATGAAAGTTGTACACAAACGCCAAGACTGCTGCCTGAACTGAAGGGAATGTGTTACAAAGAAAAGAACAGACCTCATGTCAACGGAGGAGTGGAGAACATGAGGGTACATGATCTTGACTGGGTAGACAAAGATAGGCTCATCAAGAATGCCACAAGAACAAGAGTTTGTAGGCTTTTCCTAATGTGTCATGTAAATTTCTTTTTGTAAAATCTTTGTTTTAAAAAAATTATTGAAGAGTCATGGCCAGACTGAGATCAGCCTCTGGGCTCATAACTCATGAAATTGTAATAACGTGATTGCAAACAAACTACAATATGGGTGGGATCTGAACCCATGGCGAGCAAGTGGTAAAACTACAGGCCAGTGCGCAAGCCAGCTGGCTGAGTGGCTTACACACTGGTCTGGAGTTTTACAACTTACTCGCGATTGGTTCAAACCCCACCTGTACCATAGTTTTCTGATGGTCCTCCATTTGAACCATCATCTGAACTGTAGTAGAGGCAGTGGAGTGAATGATGGTGAAAATGTTTCCTTTTGGGTCACTACCTTGGGAAGAGATGGCCAGGGTTTAAAAAAAAAAAAAAAAAAAAAAACCATGTCATGTACTAAACATACTCTTAACTTATCTCGGCTTTAGTCTTGCCTGAAAAGCTCGAGTGAACATTATTTCATTACCTATAACCATTATTTACACAAAATGCTTGTAATGCTTGTTAATAAAGAATAATTTCTTGGAAATTATTCTGTTCTGCATTAACTATAAGTAAAGTACTGTATCATAAAATAAAGATGCAGAAACTTACTTGGTCAACAATTCCAGTTTCTGAGCCTCTCAAAAATACACTGGCATCTCTCTTGCTAAACCGACGTGTTTGGCCTTCTAATTCGTCCTCATTTTCTGGCAGTGTGATGGTCTTGCCAATGATCACGTCATCACCAGACACACGCATGCCAGGCGAGATAATGCCATCATCATCTAATTTGTCGTATATCGCATGTCGCATACCTTGGCAAGTATCTCTTGAAGGCTTCTCGAACATCTGTTACACAATGGATAAATCTGACACGATAAACAGAGGTTACAACCAAAACACTATAAATACAAAATATTTCACTTGATAACAAATACAAAATGATAATTAAGGCTTTTTTATACAAATAGTCAAATGCCTTGGGAGTGGGAAAAAGTTGTAACTGACAAATATAACTGGCTTCTCACAGAACAGATGGGATTCAAACCCTTGGTGAGCCAGTCCTAAAACTAGTAGGCCAGTTTAGGACTGATTTACTCCGAGTTCAACCCTCACCTTTCTGAGGTGTTTACAATTGTGTTATGATTTTTTTTAGTCAATTTAGGGTTATTACAATAAAAATTTAATATCTGGAAAACAACTATGATTATTTAAATACTGTGTATGCAAGTAAAGTAAACTAAAATATAGGAGTATGAACTGTACAAAAGAGAAGTGTGCAGAAAGTGCAATAATAGGCCTATTTATCAGTGAATTCTCAAGATATTCTATTGTGCATAAATACCAGTAATTCAAAGCACACAAAAGAGGAAATATTTGTTTAAACTACAGGAAACTAAAAATATTTTTGGAATAAACTTGTTCGAGTACTGTACTTACAAATTAATTCTATTTTGCTAATAGATAATTGCAGACACAAGAATGCCAACAAAAATGATTTTCCACTCCTTTATATGTAACTAATTAATTACAGAGGCTCGCAAATGACTCTTATCCAAGTGTGAAATATCAAGTTTGTCTACGAAGGAAGTGTGCCGATACTAAGGCTTCAGCCACAGATGCCAAAAATAGTAAATGCCTGGGAGGAAAATCACTATTGCTGCGTTAGGGTTGTAGTCTGTTAATGCTATCTACTTTTAAAATAATTTTTATTGCACATGGTAACACTGATGACAATTCTTTTCGGAGATTTCTAAAGAGAAGTTACAAAGGTCAATAAGTGAAGGAAATGAAAGACTGGATATCATGTTGGAAGGAGTACAGTGGACCCCCGCATAACGATTACCTCCGAATGCGACCAATTATGTAAGTGTATTTATGTGAGTGAGTTTGTACGTGTATGTTTGGGGGTCTGAAATGGACTAATCTACTTCACAATATTTCTTATGGGAACAAATTCGGTCAGTACTGGCACCTGAACATACTTCTGGAGTGAAAAAATATCGTTAACCGGGGGTCCACTGTATTTAGTGATTTTTTTTTTTTATCACACTGGCCGATTCCCACCAAGGCAGGGTGGCCCGAAAAAGAAAAAGTTTCACCATATATATTTTGATATTTTGGAGTAAATATGTCAGCAAATGGGAGAAGGGAGAGCAAGTGCGAGAAGGGAGAGCAGGTGGAAGAAGAACAGAGGGAGAAAGGTGAGCGAAGAAGAGGGAAAGGTAGAGAAGAGGGAAAAGTAGGGGAGACATTAGGAGGAGAGAAGCATAGATGATGAAACTGAAGGGAAAATGTGAGAGAGCAATGAAGAAGGCAAACAATGAGAAAGAAAAGATAAACAAAAACAAATGACTTTACATGTTAAATAAAAATGGACAGTAGTTCTACACTTTCCTTAGTATACTCCAACCTTCATATTAACCCTTTACAATTAACCTGTCTAACCTTCATTAGGAATTCTTCAGTCTTACCACTATTAACTATTGTTATCTTGCTTTCATCACGATCAAAATTACAGAACACTTACTCTCTGAAAATAAGGTCAACATAAAGCATATAATCATGAAGGTGAATATATTAATCTTCATTATGCAGAAAAACATTAATTTTAGGGCACTGAAATAGCAATAGTTTTGCTACCTTGGTTTCTGGTGTACCCAGATCTTTTCACACAGTTTGAAAATTATCTAGATAAATGCTAATACATAATGTATTTCATGCTACAGCCCCTTTGTTGTAACTATCTATACATGACACAATGGCCTTAACATGGCACAATTACCCTTATATGCTGTAACCACCATTAAATGCCATAACTGCCTTTTTAAGTCATAGCCACTCCTACATGCAGCAAATTGCCATTATATGCCACTGACCAACTATGAATAACACACTGCTTCTTTATTTATGGACAGGGGACAAACTGAAAATTAATATTCAAAATCATTGACATATACTGATTTTCACAAGGCAACAAAACTAAAACAGCAAATTTAAATGCATAGTGATGACTTCCCACATGTTAAGCTAAACCTTCAGATGAATTTCTTACAAAATCTTTTTCAAATGCTGCTGCAAAGTCTGCAAATTAGAAGGTTTAGTGAAGCCAGTCAGTTTCAAATACGTTCCACAACCAGATCACTGATGCCCCTTTAGAGAACATTTAATTCTTTAAATTTTAAACAAAAACTCACAGAAAATATTTAAAGGTTTAATACAATTTGGATTTAAAAAATCTTATGTTCCAAAGGTATTAACCATGCAAAACATAATACAGCATAAAAAAAATTAAATACTATATATTCATTAAAAAAACACACCTCATCCTGCATGCCAGAGCGTCTTGTTTCTGCATCTTTGTAAGAGCGGTAGAAGCAGGAACGGAAGAATCCACGTTCTACTGTAGACAGGTTCATAATGACAGAATCTTCTTGATTGTAGCCAGTGTAACATGCAATGCCAACAATGGAGTTGATCCCTGCACACAGAAATAAGCGAAGGTAAGGCAAAGGAGGGAAATTATGCAACTATGGTACATACGTTTGTGACTTTACAAATGGTATACAGTAAGAAGTGACCATAAGGCAACATCTGAGAGGATTATCAAAATTAATTTTTTTTTCTAACACAATGGCTGTCTCCCATCAAGGTAGGCTGACTCGAAAAAGAAACACTTTCACCAACATTCACACTATCACTGTCTTCCCTGAGGCAAGAGAAGTGTAAAAATCTAAACTGTTTTCTATAAACCAACTTGCTCTTATAATAAGTGGATAAAGAATATGCAAATCCAAGGAAATCTGAAAATAAATGGTTGTCAGAACCATACCGATACATACCTGCAGGCAATTCTCGGAAGCGCAGGTATTCCATGGAACGTGTGGTAACTAGCGGCTTCTGAGGGTAGAACAGCACATGTGCAAGGGTGTCCATCCTCACGTGGAAATTTGTAATATACACACCCATCGCCTGCTTACCCATAGCACTCTGTAGAGTACACAAACGTATGGTTTGTTCTAATTTCTTGACTGTTTTGCTAATAAAAGGACAATGTTCATACATCTACTGGTAATGAGACTGGCTAATATATCATACTGACAATATATATATGGTAGTAAGAGGTAGATGGGAAAAGAGGAAAATAGCAACAACAAGCAAAAGGGAGGTGAAAGTGTATAAACTAAGGGAGGAGGAAGTTCGGGTGAGATATAAGCAACTATTGGCAGAAAGGTGGGCTGGTGCAAGTATGAGTAGTGGGGGGGAAGGGGGGTTGAAGAGGGTTGGAATAGTTTTAAAAATGCAGTATTAGAATGTGAGGCAGAAGTTTGTGGTTATAGGAGAGTGGGTGCAGGAGGAATGAGGAGTGATTGGTGGAATGATGAAGTAAAGCATGTGATAAAAGAGAAAAAGTTAGCTTATGAGAGGTTTTTACAAAGCAGAAGTGTTATAAGAAGAGTAGAGTATATGGAGAGTAAAAGAAAGGTGAAGAGAGTGCAAAAGGAGAGCAGATGAGAGAGTAGGAGAGGCACTGTCAAGAAATTTTAATGAAAATAAGAAAAATTTTTGGAGTTAAACAAGTTAAGAAAGCCACGAGAACGAATGGATTTGTCAGTTAAAAACTGAGTAGAGGAGTTAGTAGATGGGGATTGGGAGGTTTTGTGTAGATGGCAAGAATATTTTGAGGAACTTTTAAATGGCGACAAAGAAAGTGAATCGGTAATTTCATGCACTTGCCAGGGAGGTATACCATCTTTTAGGAGTGAAGAAGAACAGGATTTGAGTGTGGGGGAGGTGCGTGAGGCATTACGTAGAATGAAAGGGGAAAAAGCAGCTGGAACTGACGGAATTATGACAGAAATGTTAAAAGCAGGGGGGGATATAGTGTTGGAGTGGTTGGTATTTTTGTTTAATAATGAATGAAAGAGGGGAAGGTACCTAGGGATTGGCAGAGAGCATGTATAGTCCCTTTATATAAAGGGAAGGATAAGCTATGGCAGGAAAAGAGGGACTACAAATGTATAAATTCAAGGATTATGTGGAGTAAAATAAAGATTGGAAGTGAAAAGTGGGTTATAGTAAGCGTGTATGCACCTGGAGAAGAGAGAAGTGTAGAGGAGAGAGAGAGAGATTCTGGGAAATGTTGAGTGAATGCGTGGGGAGTTTTGAATCAAGTGTGAGAGTAATGGTGGTTGGGAATTTCAATGCTAAAGTGGGTAAAAATGTTATGGAGGGAGTAGTAGGTAAATTTGGGGTGCCAGGGGTAAATGTAAATGGGGAGCCTTTAAATGAGCTATGTGTAGAAAGAAATTTGGTAATAAGTAATACATATTTTATGAAAAAGAGGATAAATAAATATACAAGGTATGATGTAGCACGTAATGAAATTAGTTTGTTAGATTATGTATTGGTGGATAAAAGGTTGATGGGTAGGCTCAAGGATGTACATGTTTATAGAGGGGCAACTGATATATCGGATCATTATTTAGTTGTAGCTACAGTTAGAGTAAGAGGTAGATGGGAAAAGAGGAAGGTGGCAACAACTAGTAAGAGGGAGGTGAAAGTGTATAAACTAAGGGAGGAGGAAGTTCGGGCGAGATATAAGCGACTATTGGCAGAAAGGTGGGCTAGTGCAAAGATGAGTAGTGGGGGGGTTGAAGAGGGTTGGAATAGTTTTAAAAATGCAGTATTAGAATGTGGGGCAGAAGTTTGTGGTTATAGGAGGGTGGGGTCAGGAGGAAAGAGGAGTGATTGGTGGAAAGATGAAGTAAAGGGTGTGATAAAAGAGAAAAAAGGTAGCTTACGAGAGGTTTTTTACAAAGCAGAAGTGTTATAAGAAGAGCAGAGTATATGGAGAGTAAAAGAAAGGTGAAGAGAGTGGTGAGAGAGTGCAAAAGGAGAGCAGATGAAAGAGTGGGAGAGGCACTGTCAAGAAATTTTAATGAAAATAAGAAAAATTTTTGGAGTTAAACAAGTTAAGAAAGCCTAGGGAAAGTATGGATTTGTCAGTTAAAAACAGAGTAGGGGAGTTAGTAGATGGGGAAAGGGAGGTATTAGGTAGAAGGCGAGAATATTTTGAGGAACTTTTAAATGTTGAGGAAGAAAGGGAGGCGGTAATTTCATGCACAGGCCAGGGAGGTATACCATCTTTTAGGAGTGAAGAAGAGCAGAATGTAAGTGTGGTGGAGGTACGTGAGGCATTACGTAGAATGAAAGGGGGTAAAGCAGCTGGAACTGATGGGATCATGACAGAAATGTTAAAAGCAGGGGAGGATATAGTGTTGGAGTGGTTGGTACTTTTGTTTAATAAATGTATGAAAGAGGGGAAGGTACCTAGGGATTGGCGGAGAGCATGTATAGTCCCTTTATATGAAGGGAAGGGGGACAAAAGAGATTGTAAAAATTATAGAGGAATAAGTTTACTGAGTATACCAGGAAAAGTATTCGGTAGGGTTATAATTGAAAGAATTAGAGGTAAGACAGAATGTAGGATTGCGGATGAGCAAGGAGGCTTCAGAGTGGGTAGGGGATGTGTAGATCAAGTGTTTACATTGAAGCATATATGTGAACAGTATTTAGATAAAGGTAGGGAAGTTTTTATTGCATTTATGGATTTAGAAAAAGCATATGATAGAGTGGATAGAGGAGTAATGTGGCAGATGTTGCAAGTATATGGAATAGGTGGTAAGTTACTAAATGCTGTAAAGAGCTTTTATGAGGATAGCGAGGCTCAGGTTAGGGTGTGTAGAAGACAGGGAGAGTACTTCCCGGTAAAAGTAGATCTTAGACAGGGATGTGTAATGTCACCATGGTTGTTTAATATATTTATAGATGGGGTTGTAAAAGAAGTAAATGCTAGGGTGTTCGGGAGAGGGGTGGGATTAAATTATGGGGAATCAAATTCAAAATGGAAATTGACACAGTTACTTTTTGCTGATGATACTGTGCTTATGGGAGATTCTAAAGAAAAATTGCAAAGGTTAGTGGATGAGTTTGAGAATGTGTGTAAAGGTAAAAAGTTGAAAGTGAACATAGAAAAGAGTAAGGTGATGAGGGTATCAAATGATTTAGATAAAGAAAAATTGGATATCAAATTGGGGAGGAGGAGTATGGAAGAAGTGAACGTTTTCAGATACTTGGGAGTTGACGTGTCGGCGGATGGATTTATGAAGGATGAGGTTAATCATAGAATTGATGAGGGAAAAAAGGTGAGTGGTGCATTGAGGTATATGTGGAGTCAAAAAACGTTATCTATGGAGGCAAAGAAGGGATGTATGAAAGTATAGTAGTACCAACACTCTTATATGGATGTGAAGCTTGGGTGGTAAATGCAGCAGCGAGGAGACGGTTGGAGGCAGTGGAGATGTCCTGTCTAAGGGCAATGTGTGGTGTAAATATTATGCAGAAAATTCGGAGTGTGGAAATTAGGAGGAGTGGAGTTAATAAAAGCATTAGTCAGAGGGCAGAAGAGGGGTTGTTGAGGTGGTTTGGTCATTTAGAGAGAATGGATCAAAGTAGAATGACATGGAAAGCATATAAATCTATAGGGGAAGGAAGGAGGGGTAGGGGTCGTCCTCGAAAGGGTTGGAAAGAGGGGGTAAAGGAGATTTTGTGGGCGAGGGGCTTGGACTTCCAGCAAGCATGCATGAGCATGTTAGATAGGAGTGAATGGAGACGAATGATACTTGGGACCTGACGATCTGTTGGAGTGTGAGCAGGGTAATATTTAGTGAAGGGATTCAGGGAAACCGGTTATTTTCATATAGTTGGACTTGAGTCCTGGAAATGGGAAGTACAATGCCTGCACTTTAAAGGAGGGGTTTGGGATATTGGCAGTTTGGAGGGATATGTTGTGTATCTTTCAAAGTTTATTCTCTATAAGGATTACAATGCTGAGTTTACAGAAATTTGGTTATTGTTTGGTTTACATGTAGTAAAATTGAGATTACAGAGTGTACCACTAGAACGCTTAGCATGGCTAGGCATTTCGGGCATACTTAGTTTTATTCTTAAATGTAAAATATTACAAATTATGAGGTAAGTTGGTATTATGGCTAAGTGACTAAATACTATTTTGTGAGTTTAGCAATGTGAATGCTTTTGTTTTGGCACAGTATATAGTTTCAGTATTGGAGTATCACAGGATTCATTATTTTAAGACTGAGATTGATATTTCTGTTTATGGTCAAATGAGTGAGCGATTGTAAGTGTGAACCACCAGGTGGTATTCGTGAAGTTAGTTGACGGGGTGTATCAGGGAGATAAGATGTTTTCTAGTGGTAGTTTTGAAGGTGATGAATGTGTCTGCAGTTCTAGAGTTCTCAGGTAGGGTATTCCAGATTTTAGGGCCTTTGACATACGTTGAATTTTTGTAAAGGTTTAGTCGGACACGGGGAATGTCGTAGAGATGTTTGTTTCTGGTGTTATGCCTGTGGGTTCTGTCACAACTATTAAGAAAGCATTTTAGGTCAAGGTTGATATTAGAGTTTAAGGCCCTGTAGATATAGATTGCACAGTAGTAAGTGTGGATGTACTGAACTGGGAGTAAGTTTAGATCTTTGAAGAGTGAGGGGGTGTGCTGCCAGGGATGGGATTTAGTGATTATTCTTACTGCAGCTTTTTGTTGGGTTATTATTGGCTTTAGGTGTGTTGCTGCAGTTGATCCCCAAGCACAAATAGCATAGGTGAGGTATGGATAAATAAGTGAGTGGTATAGTGTGAGAAGGGCATTTTGCGGCACGTAGTATCGTATCTTGGAGAGGATCCCAACCGTTTTGAATACTTTTTTGGCTATATGCTGGATATGGGTGCTGAAATTCAGGTTATTGTCAAGGTATAAGCCTAAGAATTTTCCCCCATTATTTCTGGTAATTAGAGTGTTGTCAATCTTAATGTTAATTTGTGCATCTCCTGCTCTGCTACCAAACATAATATAGTAAGTTTTGTCAGTGTTAAGCGTAAGTTTATTGGCTGTCATCCAAGTCGATA